TCCAAGTCATTTTCTTTTTGATGTTGTATGGCCTTGCTCCCAATTTTCCCAAAGGATCAAAGACACTCAGACCATTCATAAATGGTATTTTCATTATCCAACGATCTTATCAATGGGGACCCCTTGCACCTTCCCTATCTCGCAAGAATCTTTCAAACCTGTTCCATGTGATTCTCACGTGAACAAGATCCCCACCCCTCAGGTTGCTGTTCTCAAATAATCAAGTTAGTTGAGATCACAATTCATTACAATGCTGTCCTTGTCCTTTTTAATGCAAAATCATTCCAAATGTTAATTGTTCAATGATTTGTATAGCACGATTACTTGGAATCTCAGCTTTATTTTTTATTGGGTCCCCTTTTTTTTTGGATTATAACTTAGATTCGAACTCAAAATTTACGACTCTAGAGTCTTAATCATGTCCTCATCATATCGATTCTCAATCTTTTGTTTGTTTGATCTTTTGGTACCAGCTAGCTAGTCGATACCCCCCCCCCCCCGGTTAATTATCAGTATCTAAATTCAAAGGATAGGCTCTCATTCCTTCGTTTGTCATCCATTGCTCAAAGGAGATGAAGAAGATAATAAATGTTGCAATTTTTTATTTTTATTAATACATTGAGACAACACACTGAAAATTTTGACATAAAATCTATATATATTCGGACCATTGTCAAAAGATTTCGTAGGACAAAGGAACTGAAGGATTGGTTTATTTTGAAGACACAATTTATCTATCAATTTCTTATATACTTTTAATTAATTAATTTTGTTATTTGATGTTAGTTGTATGGACTGATCATATAATTAACTTATGTTATTTTTTCTATGTGATTTTGATGTTACAAACCAAACCCTAATTCATGGCACATTGTTTTTGGTTGCCCTATCGTGCAAGTGGGTTTGGACAATATTTGTAAACGAATCTAATTAATAATTTTCCTAATTAATTGTTATATATAAGCATGATTGATATGTTCAAAACCTTTATAGAGATCTCATTCTCATGTGCTTGAATTTTTTATTTAACTCCAAATTATTATAAATTTAGAAGTTAATTAAACTATAATTTATCAGCAAAAACTTCTCTTTAATTCCTTTTCAAGGTAAAAAAAATCTTTTGCTTGTTAACTTCAACTACTTTAGTTTAAATCGCTTGCAAAACAGAATTAAATTAATCAAAATCAAATCCAACGTAATAAAAAAAAAAAAGGTAATGCTTTTTTTTTTTTCTTTTGCACTCAATCTCACGTTTATTTAATGAGAATTTATTTCAAAACTTATATCATTCACTATCAATGAATTTTTTAAATTTTACAAATAAAGTTAATAAAATGATCCTTACTTCTTAAAATATATTAAAATAATTAAAAAAATTAAACATACGTTAGTCTTTTATCTGTACTAATTGGATGAAAATACTATATGAGAATCAATTTCCTACCCATTAAAGTTCTTTCTTTTTGATTTAAATATACAAAAGAAACCTTGCATGATGATATCTTTCTGTCAATTTAAATTTCTAATTAACAATTATTGTACTTTAGAGACAACGTTGTTTAAGGAATATTTTGTTTAATTGATTTCATGATTAGAGGATTCGTGACACAATTGAAAAACAATTTTTCTATCACTAATTGTAAAGGAAACAAGATTTAGTGGTTAGGATTTTCAAAGATTCGCAACTTTGCTTAGATCATAAGTATTATCATTATCCCTAAATTACATGCAAAGTTTGACATTAAGCTTAAGTATATATTATTTTTAATCAGCATTTATAAGCATATATTAACTGAAATTTTAAAATAAATATTAGTTTTGGAAAAATCTTTTATTTTTGCATTTTCTAAAGCCTAAAATATGGTATACCATAACGATAAAATAAAAATAAATATTATTAATGACTTTTTTTTTAACTTAATGATTAAGAAACGAATTGAAAGTAATATAGACGTAAATTTGACTCATCATTCTCCTACACTAACCCTCTTTTGCAACAAAAAAAAAAATTATTAGTGAGAAATTTATTATAAATAATTGAGTTGCGCCTCCATTATTGCCACTCATGTGGATTCTACGTGGCGCACGAATTGTCATGCAACAGACACACAGCAGAGCACACGTGTATGTTGTTTACCCACAAATGCACTTCCGGTCAAAGTTAACTCTGATTTGCTGGATCGCATTCAACGGTCAAACCTATATCATTTGCCTCATTATTTCCCTTAGCTCCCACCTTCTTTACCGGCTCCCTCGGTGACCAGAAGCACGAACTTCTCCCACCCATCCGATGATCTTCAACGAATCCCAGCTGTTGATCATGTGATTCCTCACACGTGCATGTGAAACCCTCAATAAGAAAGTGGTTTAAAGTTTAAACCGTAAAGCCAGCTTTGCTTTTGTTTTTTTTTTTTTTTCGTTTTTTAAAAATTATTCTTGTTTGGAGCAGTTAGTGGGCCCTGCATGTCGTTCAAGTTGACCGGGTGAGCTGGTCACCATGTGATTAATCGGTTTTTCAGTTAATCGATGTTTAAAGCTCGAGTTGGAATGCACGTGTTGATGTACGGATTAAGTAAAATGACATATCCATCCTTTATCGACAATTTTAAAATAAGTTTTCAGGTGCGACGTTAAGGGTAATGCTTGTAATTTCAAAGAATCTAAATAGCTTGGAGGATTTAATCTGGGCAGCATGTTGGGTGGGCGGACTTGCAGTATAATCGGAAATGACAAAAGAATATGATGGCACATGGTAATTTAATCATTTAAAAATAGTTAATATATATGAAGACTATTATTAACTTAAAATTAATTAATTATAAAATTTAATTTATTAATATAATTATTTAAAAAAAAGGATATCCCACAAACTTAATATTTAATTTTCGATAATTAATGAAAGTTGTTTTCCATGATAGTATTACAAGAGGATCACTTTTTTTTTTTATGTGAATCCACTTGAAGATTAAAAAATATATATCACCCACAAATCCATGCAAATCCCTTATAAAATAATAATCTTAATAATGATTATGAGCAAGAAAAATTTTTGCTTGGTTGTAAACAACCCTTTGCTGATCACTATCTTTTCGAAGTGAGCATGTTCCCTATGGCATTGGAATAAAATAAGAAGCTCAAATTGGGGAAGAACGTGGTCTACTTGTAGTATTAAAAATTGATACGACAGTGTTTAAGCTGGCAAAAGCTTTTTTCCTTTTTTCTTTTTTTTGTTCAGAGTGACATCTGAATTCAACTTTCAACACAACTCAGAAAAGCTCTATTTAAAGAGATCATTAATTGTTGGTTCAGGGTACCCACATTGGTATGACTTCTTTTTTTTTTTTTAATCAAATAAGAAGCTCAATTTGGGGGAAAGCTTTATTTAATGAAATCTTGTTAAATTTTTTGTGAACCTTTAGAAATAACAGCATTGTTTTTCCTGGGATTCCTTTTCCTGCATTTAATCGCCATTTTCACTAGTGTGCATTACTTTCCTAAAATGGCTTTTAACACAAACCAAGAATTTTTTTTCAGTGCTCCCTTTTGTTGATAGAAAGAGCTGAAATTCTTCTGAAATACTGGAGAAAAATTTTTACAGAGAAATGACACATGCACGTGCATGGAAAGACATTAACCTTACGAAGGAGCTTTGATTGTACTAGTTTGGAATCAAACCCATGCACGTGCTGCAGGCAGGTATTATGTGCTTTTTTCCTTTTAGCTGTGCCAACCCAACATCGATGCAACTTTTAGCTCAAAAAAGAGCTTGAAGTTATGTCCAAGCGTCCATTTGAACGAATGCTGAAATTAATTTCAATAATATTAAAAATAATAATAATTATTATTATAATTATGATTAAAAAATTAATTCATAAAAAAATTTATGTTAAATAAAATTTATTAAAATTTATATTTAAATTTAATTAATAATACGATAAATTCAATTATCTCACGTTAAAAATAGAATGAATCCAAATCCTCACTAAAATCTTGGAAATGCTTCAGGTGGTTGAGATTTGATGGCTGAAAAACCATTAGCCCATTACTTGTGTTGTTCACTTAAATGGAAATTTTTTTTTGGGTTCCTCTTACATGTAATGGGCTAATGGCTCAGAGTTTGATGGTTTGATTTGCCAATTATACATTGTTTGACAATGGATCGATAACGTTCTACAATAAGCCCAAAAGAGGCCTAAACTTGAACATTAAATTAGAAACCTAGCCGTCGACTTCGCTTCCCACCTCACATGAGCCCAATGATAAATCCTGTGCTATTCTACCTTCCAACTATCAAAAGGTTTTTTTGACCACAAATCCACTTGACACACAGCTTATTACATTTTTGACTTTTGTAATTGTTTACTTCAGAGTTCATTAAAGAATATTCAATGCTGAAAGTGAAATCTACCCACCTTTTGTCGTCAAATATGGCATCCCTTTTTCCTAGTGTACAGTCAATGAGCATCAGTTTTGATAATGTTAGACGGAAAAGCACAATTATAGAAGAAATTCATAGGCTTTTGAAAGATAATATAATCAAGTGTACATCAAGTAAGGAACTCTCATTTTATTCAATAAACAAACCAAGCTAAAGCTTTAAGGATGAGATCACTTAGGACCCAATCATAAAACGCACACTCAGTCTTAGATACAGCTTAATTAGTTCAAAGTCTTTTTAAGTATCATATATAGGAAGGGAACCAAGAAACTGAGGCTTTGGACCGAGCTCGATCTTAAAAGAAGAGCCCAAGTTTAGAGTTTCTAAAACGAGGCCAGCTCAAACTTAAGCTAGTTCTGTTCACAAGGACAGTTTTACATGGGATTGGTGCCATTTCCATTGTTATTACCGAAGTGTGGGAAGGTACCTTTTACAAGAGAGTTGTTTTTCATGGACTTGTAACTCATATTTGTCATCTCATAACATTTGTTGTAATAACTGCAAATCAATAAAAAGCCCCCGGAATATTGCTCATCATTCTTTTTCTTCTTTTTTTTTTTAAAATTTTGTCTCCCCATGCCATGAGCTTGCTAATAATATGTACTGAATTATTGGTTTAGTCCTACACTCTTTCATGGCAGCCTGTTGTTTCAAGAAAGGATGGGCGAAAATCAAGATTTGGGTGCAAAATCATCATTTCTTCTACTATCAGAACAAAAAGTTTTCAACTTTATATGCAGTAATTTTGGATTATTAAACCCCAAAATCTAAAATTAAGAGGTAAACAAAAAGGTCCGGGCTTTTGTCAGAGAAGTCCTCGACCAAATTCAACCTTGCTTGCTCCAAAAACAGGTCATTGATTTTGATTAAGTCTATTGACCATTCAAAAGCAACAAAACCTGAGTCATTAATGCATTAAAAAGGAAACTATTGAGAGCGTAAGGAGCTGAAAATAAGAAAGTTAGAGTCGACTAAATTGAGAGGATGGTGGACCCCTCTTCGTCATTGAAAATAAGATTGACAGGTGAGAGGAGATTGAAAAGAAATCATGGCAACACTTGAAATATCTGCTCACACACCATGGGTTTTTTAAAGGTTATATCACTTTCACCAGGAAAGAACAGACCTAACTACCTTGACCTAAAATTTCTCTTTATTCTCTTTTAAGAGAAAAAAGAAATAGGTGACATGGATAGTTTAATACTTCACCTGCAAATTCTTTTAAATTTGTGATTGATAATGTTCTATTTCCCTTTTCTGTTCACAATACTCGTAAAAAGACTTATTTTGGTGGCAAGTGTTGAGAAAAATGTGCCAAGTTTCTGTATGGAGAAAACGAAAACTGTAATTAGCAAAAAGCTCTTCTATAATTTCAGGAGGAAATTGAGGAAACGAAAAAGGCTTTTCCATCGAGCTCACACTTGTGTTAAAATTAGCATATATTAACACTTTCACAAGCAAGAAATTATACATCTTTACCATGAATTGGAATGCTGCCAAAGAGGCTTTCCTATCCTGACTGCCCATGTCTTCCTAGGACTGGAAACTAAACCTATAATTTCAAGTAAAAACACATGTCCATAAGATAATGCCAACCTATAATTCCAAGTAAAAAGACATGTCCATAAGTTAATGCCAAATGTCAGAATTAGCCTGGATTCCATGGAATCGATGACAGCTATACTTGGAAAATAAACATTACAGAGTATAGCAGGACCCTAACTTGTTCATGAACCTTTTCAGTTTTCGTCAGCAGTGAATGAAGATTAACAGGAAATAAGTCAATCTTGGAAAGAAATGGAGATCAGAAACAAAGATGTACGTAATCTTTTAAATAGACAGTTGTATCACTATAAGCTTATAATTATTCATGCAAAAACAGCATAGATACTGGGTTTGATGAAATTATATCAATCAGATAACCACTTCCAACTTTATAAAAGAGATCATTTTTCTGGTAACCAGTAATGACTATGCTTGTAATTTATTAACTATAAGATATTAAGATGCAAAACAAAGGTTTCTTGCCAGGAATCAAGTCACAATCAAATAGAGTAACAGAATTTGAGCAAAAATATATGACAGAATTATATTGCTTTGGCTACAAAAGTTTCACAGAAGAATTCAGAACCAAATCAAACAAAATGAACAATTTAAGGAAAGTAAAATTGGCATTTTTAACAGTGGTTGATGAAAAAATGGCATAATTCTTTTTTTTTTTTTTGGTAGGATGAAAGTCGACATAAAATCCTTAGCTCCAAGTTACCCCCCTTTGATTATTTAAAAAAACAAAGGAGAGTGGGGGGGCATCCTGCTCAAATACCAAATAAGCAGAAAGGTAACTGATATAAAACCAGAATTCAGATTAACCAAAAATAGTACTCAGGGAAACGGACAGGACTAAGAAGGCATAATAATAATCAGCTGCCTACACTCTTAATTTGAAACAAGTTCAGTGGAACACTAACTAGCTGCCATCAACAATTACAAAAGCCTATACACTCTAACTTCTAGGACAGACAATTGAGATGATATTTAAATTTTAAACTCCAGTGGGTACTAACGCCCAATTCTACATTATTATTACCAGGAATATTATCCGTCATACAAGGGCCTAAAAGATCCTACATATGAAGCACAAGCAGAGAGTCTTAACAAGGCCATGGAAATTGTTAAGTGATATAAAGAATTATCCTGTGAAGTGCCATGAAATTTTGTAAAATCAAAATGAATAGACGGCAAAAAGAAATTTCCCTATGCTAAGATCTCAAATTTTGTGAGACAAGCTAGTGAATAGGGCTACAAAGACTATATCATATGCAGTGAAAAAAAAGGAGTAAAAAACTGCAATCAACTAATTTTAAACCTTATCAGGTACTCCTCTTGATGAAGCTCAAATGAGTAGAGGAAGATCTCTTCCAGATGAAGGAAGTATACAGTGCCTTCAATAATAAATCAAGTATCGGATTAGGTATTGCAAATTAACTACACAGCTTGAAACTCTGCCCCCCACCAATGTAGGGAAGCCTGTCAAACATTGTAAGCAATCAACATATTAGAAAATTTACAAAACCAAAAACAACAGAATATCCCAGAATTGGAATACCAATCCGGAAACCAAAAATAACAAAATATCCCAGAATTTGGATATCAATTCGGCATACTGAAATGAAAAACCTAGAAAGAAATTCTTTCTGTTTCATCCATATTTCTGTTCACATTTGATGTATTAAAAAGACTACCATCAATATATAAACCCACTAAAACTCTATCCCTACTCTACAATTTGCAGGACACAAAATAAAAACATAAAAGAAATTAAATATCTTTTCTCATACTTTTCCTTTTCCTTTACAAACATCATATTTTTAATATACCTCAAAAATTTGAGGTCTCAATGTGCCATATCTTACAAAGCTTAGATTTCCGAAGCCATCCCCTGCAAACACCATCACCAAACAATTTTAGCTGCAGAGTAAGAAAATACTGAAAAGCTTCCCCAAAAAAGTAAAAACGACATTAAAAGTTTAAAACACACAAAAGTTAAGAATTCAGAGACAACCTTATTATCTGGAAATCTGTGAAGCATATAAAAGCAGATCTATTTCTACATAAAAAAAGTTAAAAAATTCTCAGTTATCAGTTAGAAAATCCTAAAGCCAAAGGAGTTCACATGAAAATTTAGATTGAGGAAAAAGACCTTAACAGGTGCATCAGCAACACGGTAAGCATCGGCCGTTGTACCAACCAACCATAACCCAGGAAAAACATTCTAAAAACCCCAAAAAAGAAACAGATTAAAAGCTTATCACAAGATCAAAAACAAAAACCCAGAACTATTTGCTCTTACATCAAGCTGTTTCTGAATATTCTTGGGCCTTTTTTTGGGCCTTCTGGAGGGCCTTGATCCTGTCATCACAAAGATATCTTCTTCAATCTCTTCCCTTGATAAAGCAATCCAAAACTTCTTTTTTTCTTTCTTTTCTACAACCCCTCCATTTTCAGCCAAACCCCTTAATCTCATCGATTTTGGCGCCGTCATTTCACTCATCTTTTCCGCCACTGCTGTAGCTACCGCCGTCGACGTCTCCATCACCACCTTCCTCGGCCTCAAATTCCACGGTCTCTGCACCGTCTCCTCCTCCTCTTCCTCTTCTTCTTCAGCTTCATTTTTTCGCAGCTTCAAAGACTTTTCTTCTTGTTGTTGTTCACCTTCTTCGCGGTGGCCTAGTTTTATGGGATTTGGTGGAGGAGGGAAGGATAAGCGTTGAATGCGGGTGGATCGTGACCCAACACGCGTCGGACGGAGACGGTCGTGGTCCGAGTCGGATTCAGGAGAACGGCGATGGTCGGTGCTGGCCGTTGAAGAACTACCACCTCCATGGGTCCCCCATTTCAGAAACGGAAAGTTGAAGTTGTGTAAAGGTTGTGACTTTACTGGTGCAGTTGCCATCAAAACTCATAAAACGAAAACCAACATAAAAAGCAACGACACATGAACGACGACTCTTCTTCAAGCCTACAAATTAAGAGATAGAGAGACAGCACGCGGTGGTGGTAGTGGCGGAGCAAAGAAGAGCAGCCGAGGAAGAAGAAACACCAAACTATATTTGTTGAATAACAGCTTTTTCTTTTCTTTTTTTTTTGCGTAGGTCACTTATACAAAAGCGGGATCACCCAGGGGGTTTATTTTCTGTTATGACTTTTTTAGCCTTGATCTGTTATATATTTACCTACTGGAAAGAAAATTCTATTCCGGTGTTGAACTTTCACAGCAATTAAATGTAACTTGAATAAATAATTCCTTTTCATTGTACCTTTTTTTTTCACATTGATTTAAAACAAAAAAAATTGATAAAGAAAAATAAAGTAAAGATCGGACCTACCAACGGCGTGTATCGACTTAGTCTGGTTTCAACGCGGTCGGCTTGTCAATTTTTCTAAAAAAAATTATTTTCTTTTTTTAATATTTTCAAAAAAAAAATTTGCGTAATTTTGTTGGGTAGGAAAATAATTATTTTTAATGATTGTTTATTTCTTTGTGGGCTGATTCAATCATCGATACAATCAAAACTAGTGGGCTTGAGCTACCCGTTCGATCCGTCTCAGCTGGACCCAAGCCCAATATTCTCCTCCCGTAGCCATGATTGGGAATCCAAACTGGCATTTACATCTTCAATTCAAAAACATTTCTGTCCCTCAGAACAATTTTCCGCTCAGTTACCCCTAAGCCCTTGAACACTTTCAAACTCTACTCTTCAATATTTCCTCTTTAGTTTCCCAGGCAAATCCTTTACCCAACTGAAAACAAAATGGAGAAACCCGAAATCAACGGTCTGATTTTCCCGTCTAGCAACGCAAGTAACGGACGCTCCTTTAGATCCGTAGCTCCTCCGTCTCTTCACCCCAACTTCAGTAGCCGAGCCGTTCGGGTGCCCTCCCCTAACCGCCAACTGCAAAACCCTAGTCCTTTATGTTACTTAGGGTTTTATTTTTTAAATTAGTTTTAAAATTTTTGCTGCTTTATAATGTTACTGTAATAAGGAATTAAGTTCACATTTGCTTGCATATAATTGATTCTCTTAGAAACTTTGTTTTTTTTTTTTTGGGAAAATAATAGGGTTTTAGATTCAATTAATTATTATTATTATTTAAATTAAGTTGAGATGAATCATGGGCTTAGTATGTAATGGTAGAATGCATTACTATGTAGCTTGAGAGTACCGTTGGTCGGAGATTTATACTATGGTAAATTATATTAGGTTCTAATTTGAATTTCAGGAGGCTTTGGAACACTTAGCATCTATCGACCTTAGCGAGTTATTCAATGAGGCGAAAATTGAGTACTGTCGAGCAACTAGAGACTTAAGAAGCTGTGGACGTTATGTACAGTATGTGTTGAGCTCGTGTGGACATGCATCTTTATGTACTGAGTGTAGTCAACGGTGTGATCTTTGTCCCATTTGTAGAATCCCATTGACAAAAAGTGGTAATAATAGACTTCGCCTTTATGATGAGTGCATAGATGCTGGCCTAATTTCTAGAAGATGCGATGAGAGGTTTCAAGATAACGAAGATAGAGATTATCGACTGACTGCTGATGTTCAACGTCTTCATTCTTTTTTTGATGTAGCCTTGGACAATAACTTGATTTCTTTGGTTTGCCATTGTATCCTTTAGCTGTTTTTTTTTTTTTGCTCAAGTTTTAGCTTTTTAGGACATATTGATTTGTTTATTTTTTAATAACATGCCCCAAATACTGATGTCTTGGTCCTTTGTTAGAAATTCGTGTTTCCTTTAACAGAGAAAAACAGATGTTACTGATATATGTATGGATGAAAGTGCTGTTTCCAGTGATGCTGTCACTGCTTTGTTGCTGGATGAGAAGGTTGTCAAGGATTGGGTCAAGCGGACATTTCAAAACATGGCAAGAGAACTTCAAGGGATATGTATCCTTAAAGTTTTTGTGAAATGCTTTGAGAACTTCACTCTTTTGGTATTTTGCCTATACCATGTGTGGTGGGTGTTCCCTAACTGTTTTTGTCAGATTATCTTGAGGTAGAAGAGATGAAAAATAGGGTAAGTTTGCTTATAAAGTTTTCTGTACATCTGGCTGGTTTATCCAGTGTACTTGAAGTTTTGGAGTCATCTTTCAAAGGTCGTCTTTCAGCACAACTCCATGACTTGCGCAACCTTCAAGAGAGTATATTGAAGACAAAGCAGGTTTGATTCAATTAAGCGAATGTTTTACCATAGTTTAGCTTATTTTAAGAGCAGTATGTTTGTAGCAAACTCTCAGAACCTGCAATCTTGAAAACCAACTAAATAGAAAATAACAGCAAATGGAATTAGCAGTTTGTGAGAAATTTAATCACTGTCATTTGATCATTGCACTTATCTGAACTTCTGGTTGCAAGTGCACCTTTTGTCTTTGAATACTGCACATCATTGTGTCATTAGTTTCACTAAAATATTCATTTTAGCATTTCACTATACAAATGAAGAAAGGTTGGCTGAGTAGACTTTATAGATGTTATATGCTTTCCCAATCATGCAATAATCAATGCTTTCTGACAATATTTGTTCTAAATTTTCAGCATCTTGAGATCACAATATGGTGTATAAGGCACCAATTCTTGGAACATGTGAGGTCCCGTCATGCTAATTTCACATCCTGGTGTAATCTTGTTCGTGAAAGGAAATCAGCTGCAATTTCGCGTGCATGGCCACCTGATGTGTTACATCACTCCGCCGACTCCACTGGACAGGGTGGCTCTCTTTTCATTGAAGATGCACTGGCAAATCTTGACATAGAGCAGGCATATGACCAGGAGATAGGAGAAGAGTCAGATTTTGCATTTTTGCAAAAGAATGGAGCCTTGTCCTTTATTCGGTCTAAAATAGAGGGAATGACAGGATGTTATCCATTTGAAAGTCTTCAAGCTGCTGTGGACATCCTCTTTCTACGTTGTAGTTCTGATTTGGTGGTTGCAAAGCAAGGAATTGTATCCTTTTCTTTTTGAAATGAATTTCATTTAGGGTTCGTCTGTTGATTGGACATGTTTTCAGTTAGGCAAATTCCTTTAATTTTCTTAACTGAGATGCAGTTTGTATATTTCCTGTTCGATCGGCATTGGAGTAGGCCTGAAGAAGAATGGAGACATATCGTGGATGACTTTGCAGCCTCCTTCGGTATAAGCAGGCATTCATTACTCGAATCCTTCACTTTCTGTCTTCTGGATGATCACTCAGATGAGGCTTTACTGGTAATTTCTCTATCTATTATAAAAGATTGTTGAGTCTAAATGCCCATTTTTGCTTGCTGTCAAGGCACCATTTGTTCTTCAAATTAATTGTATAAACTTTTGCTTATACCATTTGCTACTTTAACTTCTCTGCCACTCACTACCTACTAATTAAATAGTTTGATATGTGAGTTTCTAGCTTGTTTAGGAAAGTGACTTTTGCAGTATAATACCAAATGGATTTCTATTCTAACATGCATGTGGAAGCTTTGATGTAAACTGTACCTGTACTGATAAGGCTTGAATATTGCATATTGTTGTTACGGTGCAGTGGATTTACTATAGCTGGTTATAGCTCAAACTAATTGGTATTATCTTTATTGTTTGACCACTAATTCTGTCCATATTAGTTTCTTTTGTTTTCACCCTGAATAATTGGTCATTTCTTTTTCTTTTTTTTTATTGTGAGTTCTAATAGACTAATATCTTAGTGAATTAATATAGTTCTGCCAATTCCACTCTCCTCAAAATACAAAAGAAATATTTTGAGTTTAAAGAACCCAAATTAATTGTTTAACCATATTATTGTGGCCAATTGTAATTTGTCTTGTGTGGAATCACGGTGCTTGTTGATTTTAGGGATGACAGGAAAGAACTCTTTTCTGTCCTTCCGGCTGTACTTGCTCACTCTTAATATAATTCCATTTTCTGATTATTTTTCACTAAATCATATTTCTTAGGAATCTTATCAACTTCTTCCAGAGATCTCTGGCCCAGCATCTCATCCTAAGATTGTGCAAGTTCTATTAGAAAGGCACAATCCTGAGGCAGCTCACCTGGTGTTATGTTGGTCTGGTCGTGATGATGGATCACGGTTGGTTTTGCTTAGTGAGGCTGTCACTATTATTCGTGTGAAAGTGGAGCGTGGGCTTCTGACCGAAGCATTTGCATATCAGCGAATGCTCTGTACCAAAGTCCGGGAAACGAAGTTCAAGTATGGACCAAGTGGGGATGCATTTGATGATCTGAAAGGTGAATGCAGGTCCTGGATGGACTGGATAGAAGTATTGGTCACTGAATTTTGTTGTTTATGTATTCGGAGGAATGTGGTAGATCGAATAATAGAGCTACCATGGAATGCTGATGAGGAGAAGTATATCCACAAATGCCTGTTAGATTATGCAGCTGTTAACCCCTCAACTACCATGGGAAGTCTCCTTGTTGTATTCTATCTTCAGGTAACTTACTGAACTGGGAAAGATCAATGAAGGGATATAATCTTGACTCTTATGTCATTTTAAATTAATATCTCGATAAGTACTGCATGGAATGGTGTAACATCTAGGTTTGGGCTCATGGATGCTGTATATTTTTGGCTACTTGGCCTATGTTTATACCTTAAATTGTTATTATGATCCACATTTTCAACTGTTAGATGCTCTATAATTCTCATTTTTGGCTGATCTAATGGATTCCGACATCACTTCTAGGACTGCTTTTCAGGTTAAATGGATGATTATGACCATGTTTTAATAATTGGAATAATTTTTATCAGTGTATTATCTGAGCTTATGTACTCATGTTCTGTTACTAATCCAGCGCTATCGATATGTTGAGGCATATCAAGTCAATCTTAAACTTTGGAGCTTGGAGAAAGACTTCATTTCAACTGACTCTGTCAATGAAGAAGTTCTTTCCATGATGGAATCACAACGACAATGGAGAAAAGAATTGGTTGTAAGTGGTTTGAACTTTTGAGGATATTCTCATTGCTGCTGTCATTTTTATCTTTTTTTTTTGGGGGGGGGGGGGGAGTGGAGTGTGGGGGTTCTTAATCTTTATGGTTATGAAGTTCGTCTTGTCTGATTAACTAACTTAAGAGTGAATTTCTTTTCCATGCTTAGTGAAGTTTGAAGTGCACTGGTAGCAAATAGTATTTAATAACGAATCTACTGACTTGCTTTCTTTTTCTTCAATAGGATAAAGGTATAGAATTGCTGCCAGAAGGCCTGCAGCAACAAGTAAAGACTGGAACATTGTCTGATATAGTGGTTGCTTCTGTTCAAGAGGATGAAACGCCAGCAAGATCTGGTCTTTCTGAAGTGCAAGAACCAAAATCTGCCAGTTTGTTAGTCCCCTCCACTTCTGATTCTATTATTCTACGACCAGACCATATGGCTACTCCTTTGAGACCAGCAGTTTTTGAAGTTCCTAAAATATTGGGTGGGTCTGTCAACAATTCTCGTGTTGCAGCTGTTAACCATGGATCTTCATTAATTTTCCAGGGGAAGTTATTTGCAGATGCAGCAAGAATATCGAATGTTGAAGTTGGCAAAAACTTAAAGTTTGAGGACGTCTCAAGTCCTGGAATTCATGGTGTAAGTTCTACATATGCTACACCTTTAAATGGAATCAGTTGGAGTTCATCAAGAGAACTTCCAAACAGACACCTACAAGAAAAACAATACGATAAAATCATTTTAGAGGGCGAGCAAAATGGTTTTGTTAACCAAGTCCGCAATACAAATACTCCACATTCCCGAAGGCTAACAGCTAACCCTTCATCCACACCTAACAGTAAATTTGGTTTGTTTAAAGGTTCTGCAAATACCTTGCGTCCTAATATTTCTGGTAAGAGGGGCCAATCAGATAGGGGTGACGGACATATGAATGTTCTTCCTACAGAAGACTTAATGAATGACTCTTGGAGGTAAAGATTTTGATTTCTTCTCTTATTCTCTCTTTCCTCTGCATCTGTCATGTTATTCTCTCTATATGGTTCTAAATGTCTCCATAACGACAGATAGGGTAAAATTTTATTTTATCATCTTGTCACTTTTTTTTCCTTATTTGGCATATTTGCAGCCTTGGAGAGAGGTCTTTTGAGGACAGAAATGCAAATGGGGGGCTGAGATGGAGATCTGATGAAACAAGTGACGAGGAAGAGCAGAGTCCAAACAAAACCAAAGAAGTTGGTGCCACCCCCATGAGGGGACTTGGGAGGAGATTAACCCGAAGATGAAAGATCTTGTTGCCAACGTATTTCACCATTCTGTTACCTGAATATATTTATGTCCTTCCACAAGAATGAGCCCGAAGCGTTACAAGTTGCAACCCTGTAAATTTGAGGTTAAATTTGGGGTGAGAGTAGCGTTGCTTGTGTTTCAAAGCTTTCATGGGGGAAAAGGTAAAACCCTGCCTCGTACTGGATTATAATTCGCATATATGACCGACTCAGATGTGGTTGTCTTCTTGATATCAAGTTGATGAAACAAAGATTTTTGATAATTAAAGGGGATTGATTCATCAAAGATCCCCTCATTTTTGTTAAGAAGTTAGCTCAACGCAACATTTTGATAGTTCTTAGTTTGTCGAGCTGTAATCGAAACTTTCCCATATTTAGTTGAGGAATTAAAATTGATCGACTATTCGGTGTAATATGTTCCTTATTTAGAGATTTCCTTGATTTCTTACCAAACTTGTATTAATGGAAATTTTCTTTTTGATAAAATTCTTATCATTACACATGCAATTATATGTTCTTAGGTAGATGATATGCATCATTGTCAGTTTATATTTACATTTGAATATTTTAAAGGTAAACACCTCTTGTGATTTTTTTTAATTTAACATTTTTGAGGTTATCTTTTCTCTCATTTTCTATTTAATGCAGGATAAAATTTATAAGTGAAGTTTATGAAATTTTTTACTAGAAATGAGTAAATAAAAATTTTAATAAAAAATTTAAATCAATAGATTGATAAAATACAATATGAAAATTAATAATATATAAAAAGCTACTAAAAATACTGATTATAATTTGAATTAGATCTATATTTATTTAACAATGAAAATTTTATTAATATTTTTATTAAAAATATTTTTAAATTTCATATGTTTGATTTATATAACGAGATCTTTTAATCTATTGATTTTGATTTTAATTTTAATTTATTTATTTTTAATAAAAAAAATTCACAAATTTCATTTATAAAATTTCATATAAAATTTTTCTTTTAATATAACTGTCAAGGTCAAATAAAATTATCATGCTATCAAATAAATGTTATCTCACATTTTATATTTTTACATTTTGAAACATAAGAAATTGAAATTTTAAAAAATATATTTTATTTTTTAAAAAAATGAAAATAAAAACTGGAAATTTATTTGAAGTAACATTATCCTCTATGTTTATAAAAGTTAGGCTGAAAAGATCTTATCCATATTGTCCTTATTTATAAAAGTTATGGAGACCCGTATTAAACACGCAAACATTTTTATTTTATTCAAATGTCTTATAATTTTATATCATAAAGATGCTTTATAAATGTAGGGTCAAAGTTCTTATACATATACCGTAACACTCAACGTGAAATTGATATGATAGGTTCAAAGCTCTTATTCATTTAGCCACGACAACCAATGTAAAATTAAAATATTACAAATGTGAAATAAATATAATATGTTATATGATAATTTAAAATTAATTATTTAATATATTAATAATATAATTTTTTAATTTTATAAGTGAAATTAAAATGATAATACATATTTTATTTAATATTTAATATTTTTATTTTTTAAATATATATTAAAAAATATATGTAATCGTCTTAACTTGATTTGTGAAGATAAATTCCATAATTTGTCAGCATGAAACAGCTATAAAACTCTTTACTTGGACCAAAGCAAGTTGTTGCAGCAGAAACGAAAAAAAAATGCCTGAAGCTCTTCAACTACCCATCGTTGACTTGTCCTCACCAGATAGCCTCTCCATCGCCAACTCTATCCGTCAGGTTCTTCTTTAGCCTTTTGCAAGTTAATGTCTGTGGCCTTTGTTCAATGTTTAGGTAGTTGCAGTTTCGCTCTTTTGTTGTGCTGAAGAAACTGTTTTAAGAAGCAAAACAAATCTTTTTTTTTTGGTATAATGTGTAACTTCCAAGTGCAATAAAATTTGCTTTAAATTATGAGTTCTCAACTTGTTGTAAACAGGCGTGCATTGAACATGGTTTCTTTTACCTCGTGAATCATGGGGTGGAGGAAGAATTGCTTAAGAAAGTTTTTGAGCAAAGTTCCAAGTTTTTTTCACTCCCAATTGAAGAAAAGATGAAACTTTCTGTAAAGAATTACAGAGGTTATACAGCACTGTATGCTCAAAAGCTTGATTCTTCTTCAAATGCCAAAGGTATTTTGATTTCTTCTTCATCTTTTTTCCTAAGTTGCCTGTTCAATGATCATGTCATCGAATTTAATGTGAGGTTTTATGCTTTTTATTTTGAAATTTTTGTTCATCATCTGTTTGTGAGGATCCATTGGAATTGGGGGTTATTTTGACCACTTTTGACTGGTTGGAAAATAGGTGACACTAACGAAGGTTTCTATGTTGGTCCACTAGCCGATCACCTCAACCAATGGCCTTTAGAAGGTATCTATATGTGGTTATCTTATACAGAATTTATTTTCAACTTATTTTTTGTCTTGTATAAATAATTTCTTCATATCAAAAAAATTTAACCGAGTTATACTCTGATGGAAATTTCAGAAGATCTGCCATCTTGGAGAAGCACAATGGAGACTTATCATAAAAAAGTGCTGTGAGTCCCTACTGTTAATTTTCATGTTGGCACTTATGATTTACAGATGAGAATAAAATTCCCAAACTATCACTTTGAGATTGGAGATTTGCTCATTGATATTTAATTTTTTTTATAATACAAGCTTAGATGCCTAGTCATTCCAGTTCAAAACTAGCTTTTGAGTTTTGAATTCAAATCTAAGTTGCTTGGAACATTTTCCACTATGAGATTTAGATAGCTCCGCCCATAGGACATTATTCTACTGGCACAAGTATTTCAGAATTACAGCTTGTAGAATTGAATGAATGCAAGATTTACATTGTGTGCTAGATTTGCTTCTCAGGTCTGCTGGGACTAAATTAATTTCCTTAATTGCCCTGGCTTTGAAATTGGATGAAGATTTCTTTGAAAAAAGGGGTGCACTGAATGAACCATATGCGTTTATCCGCCTATTACACTATCCAGGTATAGTAGCACTAATTGTCTTCTTTTAAGTCATTGATTGATTTGAAGTTTTTATGGAGCCTTTTTTTGCCATTACACTTGTATATATTCAACAAAACTTTCCATTCTAGTGAAGAAAATAGATAATATAAGCAGATGTTCAGACCATAAAACCTTAAAAATATGAAATGTGCCTCTTGATTTTGATGTTAGGGGACTTGGAGTCTTCTGGTGAAGAAATTTATGGTGCTTCTGCTCATTCAGATTTTGGAATGATGACTCTTCTAGTGACTGATGGTGTTCCAGGGCTTCAGGCATGTTCCATGTCAATAATATGCAAACGTTAAATTTTGATTTCAATCCAACATCTCTCCTTTGTGCTAACAGGTTTGTAGGGAGAAATCCAAGCAACCGCAGGTTTGGGAGGATGTGCCAAGCATGATTAGCGATGGCAGATTGTTCATGTAAACAGAGTTATATCTCACCTTTCATATCTCACCTTTCAACCCATTTCTAAAGAAAAAAAGAAGGGAAACCACAGAGTCATATCTTGCCAAATCCAGCATCTGAACATTGGATATGAATCTGCAGGGCATTCATTGTTAACATTGGGGACATGATGGAGAGGTGGACAAATTGTTTGTTCCGGTAAAATGGCTTTTTTCTGCTTCTGTTGGAGGTTTGTACAATGATAATGTCACTTTCTGTGTATCTCCTCTAATTTGTCTCATCCATTTATAGGTCAACACTGCACAGGGTGCTGCCACCAGGACAAGAACGCTACTCTGTAATGATTCACCCTTTCCTGTTTACTTCCATTGTCGTTTCTTGTGTCATCAGGTCTCGAGTGGTTAACAATAATAATTTGCACATCATTTATGGAAAATTCAATTATGTTAAGAAATATTTTGTTGAATGTTATCTGTTCATGATCTGATTATTTGATGGGGACCAAGTGTCACTCTCATCAGATTTCAGTCCAAAGTCTCTAGTCATTGCACATTTGTTTATTCTAACACTCTTCAATTGAGGCAGGCCTTTCTTTGTTCTGAAAGCTTTATAATAACTATGCAACATTTCAGGTTGCATTTTTCATGAATCCCAACAAAGACATTATAGTGGAATGCTTGGAAAGCTGTTGCAGTGAGTCTTCTCCCCCAAGGTATTGATACAACTGGAACTTTAGCTTTATGTTTATGTTTTGGTTATGGTTAAAACAACCTATCAAATAGAATATTGATCAGTTCATCTCATTTAGATAATTTATGGGCTCATCCTAACTGTATATCCAAAGAACAATAAATCATTCACATAAAGACAACAATTAGATAACAATCAAATCAATCCCAAAACCAAACAAATTTATGAGCACTCTTGTCTTTAATAATCTCATGTTAAACATTTACTCTTATGGACGTTCTTATTTAGTCTCGTGGGTGTCGTACATCCAATTCTATAAAATCCCAAAGTTATAAGATATAAGGCTTAATTTGATGTTGTTGTATATATCATCAATGGACATAAACGCATTTTTATTCCTACCTGCAGATTTCCACCCATCCGTTTGTTGGACTACCTGGAAGAGCGTCTTAGTCTTGCATATCGCTTGTAGTTGAAGTCATGCCTCATTTTCACGGATTGTATGCTACATCTGGTTGTGCCAAGCTCTCTGCTGTTAAACAAATTGCTAACATTGCAATCAATACTTCACAGCTAAAGAGAGGCTTAGAGCCCTCAGATACTATAATAATCAGTCTTATGAAATAAAAAAAGAAATGGAAGAAACGGAAATAGAATATCTAGTTTGCTTGTGCTATGAATTCTTCGCTATAATTTGCAACTATTTTTAAGAGGTATTTTCAAAAAATAAGATAAATTCATTGTATTGATATGAAATAATATTTTTTTTAATTATTAAAAAAAAAAGAATTAATTATCGTTAAACAAAATTTACAGAAGAATTACAATTATTGTAGTCATAATACAATTATTCAATCACAAAAATTTGAGATCCATTACTAATAAGCAATGATTACATAATATTTTGGCAACTGCTACACAATTGATGACTGTAGTTGAATAATTGTCCACCATGCTTAGGGAACTTTGATAAGAAACTAGTAACGCTGGAATTGCGACAAGCTCAATGGAAAATACCAAGGATACATTTTCAACTTCTTGATTTAATGAATAAAAAGATTAAAAAGATATATAAGATTATCTAATCGGTTAAATATTAATGCAGTTGTCTTCTCATTGGTGACCCAACAAAAAGATTTTTTTTTAATAAGATTTAAATTTATTATTTTATTTAGATCATATATTAAACTTATCATTCATTTTTTAGTATGTGCAATTTTATCAAGTGTATTTTCTAATTTGAATAAAAAAAAATCAACAGTTAAATTATTCTAATATATATTTTTTATTTCTCTTTGAAATATTTTTTATTATTAACTTTTGAATATATGTATGATGTATATAGGGTTGGCAATCCAACCCGTTTCCGACGGGTTCCAACCCAACCTTATGAGGTAGATTTTTTTTTTTGAAATTCGGATTTCGGATCGGGTCGGATTCGATTTTTAAGCAAACCCGATCCGATCTGACTCGATATTATATAAAAAAAATTATTTTTTAATTAATTTTTAAATTTTTTATTTATATAATGATATTTTTAAATATTTATATTTAAAAAATAATATTTTATTAATTTTGAGTCGAGTATGATTTATATAGTATTGGATTGAGATCGGGTTCGGGTATGAAAAAACAAAAAAAATTTCGAATAAAATCGAGTTCAAATTTATTAAAACATTAAGTCGAATCAGGTTCGGGGCGAGCAAAACCCACCTCGAACCCGACCCGATACCAACCCTAAATGTATCCATGTATATGGATACAATGAAAACGTGCCAAACTAAGTTGATACTTCTAAAACTAAAGCTATACTAGGTTTATTATTATATTTAAAATATTTTTATATTTTTTAAAATTAAAATTTAATTTAATTAATTTTTATAATTATTTTTAAAAAATAATATCCAATAAATTAAAATTTTGAATCTCAACTATTACAACTCATTTCACTATTTTAAAATGTGACATTCTTTATAAAAAAAATATTTTTATTTTTTAAACTTATTTTAAAATTAAAATTTAATTAAAATATACTATTTATTAATATAAAATATTTTTTAAATTGAATTGAACTTAAAAAATCACCTCTAAAACTCAAGTCGAATGTAATTAGTACTTCTAATTTATGAGTAGTTTCAAATTTGACAGGTTAATACGTTTATTTTTAATTATTTTTTAATTGAATTAAAAACTAAAATGATAAAATTATACATGTTTAAAGTTAAAAATTAAATTTGATGGATCATCCTAAATAAAAATCAATAAATTTGGAGTTGATTTTATAATTAAAAGTGTATCAATTAATAAAAAATAAAAAATAAAAAATAAAAACCCATAAAGATCTTTAAGTTCAAATGTACAAATCTTTTTCATTGAATTTTCTTTTCTCCTAGATAATTTTTTCTTTTTTAGAGAAAAGTGGCAACATCAAGCAATCAAACACAGCCGTATCTTTTTTTCGTTTATTCCATAGCAAGATATGATTTAGATTTTTATTGAAAAAGGTCAGGACTTTCAAGGCACAACACGATCACTACCAGAATCTTGTCAATTGAAAGTTGAATCTACAAGTAAACGGTAACAACTGAACAGTTCCAAAGCTTCCTGGTCAGTTCAGAGCAAACTAAACTAAATTAAACCAAAAGAACGTGTCTAAAGCTATTCAACTTCCCATCATTGACTTGTCCTCAGAAGATCGCGTCTCCACTGCCAACTCTATCCGCCAGGTTTATAATGTTTTGCCCTTCCTTCAATCTTTTGGCAGTTGCACTTTGGGTTTATGTTTATGTTTATTACTGTTCAATGTTTTATGATCAAAGTAAAAGCTGTGTTGCAACTTGCAAACGAGTTCTTGTCCTAATTGCAAAGAGGAGTTCCAGAAATCTTGATTCTAGGTTTAAATCCTGGGTTTAACTTAATTTTATGTCGGATTTGTTCAGTTATGTGTTGGTTAATTGATAATATTTAGTTGAGGAATTAAAATTGATCGAGTATTTATTGTAATATGTTCCTTTTTTACAGATTTCCTTGATTTCTTACTAAACTTGTATTAATGGAAAATTTCTTTTTTGAAACATAAGAAATTGAAATTTCTTTAAAATATTTTATATTTTTTAAAAAAATTAAAAATTAAAACCGCAGATTTATTTGAAGTAACGTTTTCTTTTATGTATATAAGAGTTAAAGGTGAAAAAACATTATTCATATTGTCCTTGTTCATAAAAGTTATGGAAATTCATATTTAATATGTAAAATATTATTTATTTTGATTCAAATATTTTATAATTTTATATTAAAAAGATGCTTCATAAATGTAGTTTCAAAGTTATTATAAATAATGATCAATGTAAACTTAAGACCTTCCAAATAAGATATGATATATGATAGTCTATTGACAACTTGAAGATTAAATTATCAGTTATTTTATATAAATAAAAGAAACACTTGCAAAAGTCTTTACTCAGATCAAAGCAAGTTGTTTACAGCAGAAACCGAAAAATAAAGCAATGTCTGAAGCTCTTCATCTCCCCATCATTGACTTGTCGTCACCAGATCGCCTCTCCATCGCCAACTCTATCCGTCAGGTTCTTCTTTAGCCTTTTGCATGCTAATTGTCTTTGGTCTTTGTTCAATGTTTTAGGTAGTTGCGACTTCGCTCTTTTGTTTTCCTAAAAACACTTTTGTCAACAGGCGTGCGTGGAGCATGGTTTCTTTTACCTTGTGAATCACGGGGTGGAGGAAGAATTGCTTAAAAAAGTTTTTGAGCAATGTTCCAAGTTTTTTTCACTCCCAATTGCAGAGAAGATGAAATTTTCTAGAAAGAATCACAGAGGTTATACAGCACTGTATGCTGAAAAGCTTGATACTTCTTCAAGTGCTAAAGGTACTTTGATTTCTTCTTTATCTTTTTTTCCTAAGTTGCCTGTTCAATGATTATGTCAACGAATTTGATGTGAGATTTTATGCTTTTGATTTTGAAATTTTTGTTCATTCCCTCTTTTGAGAGGACCCATTCGAATTGGGGGTCAGTTTGATCACTTTTGACTGGTTGGGAAACAGGTGACTCTAAAGAAAGTTTCTACATTGGTCCACTAGCTGATCACCTCAACCAATGGCCTTTAGAAGGTATCTATATATGGTTATCTTATATAAAACATCTTGTAGTAGTTGTCCCAAATTTCTTGATTCATCCTTTATTTTCACCTTTTTTTTATCTTTTATAAATAATTTATTCATATCAAAAAAATTTTAAGTTATACTCTGGGTGGAAATTTCAGAAGATCTGCCATCTTGGAGAAGCACAATGGAAACTTACTATAAAAAAGTGCTGTGAGTCCCTACTGTTAATTTTCATTTTGGCACTTATGGTTTAACTTTACAGATGAGAATAAAATTTCCAAACATTCATTTTGAGATTGGAGGTTTGCTCATTGATTTTTTTTATAATACAAAGCTTAGATGCGTAGTCATCCCAGTTCAAAACTTACTTTTAAGTTTTGAATTCAAATATAAGTTGCTTGGAACATTTTCCACCATGAGATTCAGATACCTCTGCCCATGGGACATGATTCTACTGGCACAAGTATTTGAGAATTTCCATACAGCTTTTAAGACTGTTAGGATTTACATGGTGTGCTAGATTTGCTTCTCAGGTCTGCTGGGACTAAATTAATTTCTTTAATTGCCCTGGCTTTGAAATTGGATGAAGATTTCTTTGAAAAAGTGGGTGCACTGAATGAACCATTTGCGTTTATCCGCCTATTACACTATCCAGGTATAGTAGCACTAATTGTCTTCTTTTAAGTCATTGATTGATATGAAGTTTTTATGGAGCCTTTTTTTTTTGTTCATTTTCTTCATTAAAATTTTTTTTTTGGCAGTACACTTGTAAATTTTCGACAAAACTTTCCATTCTAGTGTAGAATATAGATAAAAAAGCAGATGATTAGATGTTCAGAGCCATAAAACATTAAAAATATGAAAATGTGCCTCTTGATTTTGTTGATAGGGGACTTAGAGTCGTCTGGTGAAGATATATATGGTGCTTCTGCTCATTCAGATTATGGAATGATCACTCTTCTGGTGACCGATGGTGTTCCAGGGCTTCAGGCATGTTCCTTGTCAAAGTAATATGCAAACATTAAATTTCGATTTCAATCCAACATCTCACCTTTGTGCTAACAGGTTTGCAGGGAGAAGTCCAAGCAACCACAGATTTGGGAGGATGTGCCAAGTATGAGTGGGTGAGTATTAATGATGGCAGATTGTTCATGCAAGCAGAATACTTTTCAACTCACTCCCAAAGAAAAAAAGGGGGAAACCACAGAGTTATATCTTGCCAAATCCAGCATCTGAACATTGGATATGAATCTGCAGGGCATTCATTGTTAACATTGGGGACATGATGGAGAGGTGGACCAATTGTTTGTTCCGGTAAAATTGCTTTTTTATGCTTCTGTTGGAGGTTTGTAAAATGATAATCTCACTTTTTGTGTATCTCCTTTAATTTGTGTCATCAATTTGTAGGTCAACACTGCACAGGGTGCTGCCACCAGGACAAGAACGCTACTCTGTAATGATTCATCCTTTCCTGTTTACTTCCATTGCCATTTCTTGCTTCATCATGTCTCAAGTGGTTAACAATAACAGTTTGCAAATCATTTGTGGAAAATTCAATTATGTTAAAAACATTTTGTTGAATGTTATCTATCTGTTCATGATCTGATTATTTGATGGAGGCCTTTCTCTGTTCTGAAAGCTTTATAATTACTTTGCAACATTTCAGGTGGGATTCTTCATAAATCCCAACAAAGACTGTTTAGTGGAATGCTTGGAAAGCTGTTGCAGTGAGTCTTCTCCCCCAAGGTATTGATACAAATAGAACTCTAGCTTTATGTTTATGTTTTGGTTATGGTTAAAACAACCGATCAAATAGAATATTGATCAGCTCATCTTATTTAGATAATTTATGGGCATATCTTAACTGTACATCCAAAGAACTATAAATCATTCATATAAAGACAACAATTAGAAAACAATCAAATCAATCGCAAACACAAACAAATTTATGAGCACTCTTGCTCGGTCTTTAACAATCTCAGATCAAACATTCACACTCATGCACACTCTTCTTTAGTTTCGTGGGTGTCATATAATACAATTGGAACGAAAATAAGATCTCTTTTGTGTTATGCATATATCATAAAGGGAGGTTGTTTTTGATTAGAGGGTTAAAAGAAGTATATGAAAATGTTGTTTTTTATAGAAATGAATAGTATAAAAAAAATCAAAATCACGACCTAACATAATTTTTTTTTTTTGATATTTCATATAACCGATCCTAGAGTTACGAGATGCAAAGACTTAATTTATTGTTGTATTATATATCATCAATGGAGGTAACACATTTTTATTCTTGCCCGCAGATTTCCACCCATCCGTTCATTGGACTACCTGGAAGAGCGTGTTAGACTTACATATGGCTCGTAGTTAAAGTCATGCATCATTTTCACGGATTGTATACTACATCTGGTTGTGCCAAGCTCTCTGCTGCTAAAGAAATTACTAACATTGCAATCAATACTTCACAGCTAAAGAGAGGTTCAGAGGCCTCAGATGCTATAATAATCAGACTTATGAAATAAAAAAATGAAAGAAATGGAACTAGAATATCTACTTTGCTTGTGCTATGTATTCTTTGCTACATTTTACAACTATTTTTACTATATGCAATTTTATCAAGTGTGTTTTCTAAGTTGAATAAAAATAATCAAAATTTAAATTATTCTAAAATATATATTTTTATTATTAACTTTTTAATTTATGTATGGTGTATCAAGGAATATGGATAGAACCATGCCAAACCTAGTTATTTTTCTAAAACTAAAGCTTAAGCATAGTCCACTCTTAAATTAGGTTTATTGTTATGTTAAAATTATTTTATTTATTTTTTAAATTAAAATTTAATTAAATTGATTCATATAAATTAAATTAAAATCTCAACATTTACAATTCATTTGTTTATCTTAAGCTGTAATTTTTTTGTAAAAAAATATTTTTATATTTTTAAATGTATTTTAAAATTAAAATGTACTCTTGATTAATATAAAATATTTTCAAATTAAATTGAATTTAATTAAAAAAGTTACGTTTAAAATTAAAGTAACATGCAAAACACAATTAAGCTAAAATTTTCAAAATTGCATTCTCACAACCCAAATATCAAGAATTTGGGATGAATTATATATTTAAACAAAAAATAAAAAACATAATTCACACCTCAATCGATATATATATATATAAAAAAAAAAACCCTTAATTCAAAAGCGAATCCAATTAGTAAAGAACGGATCACAAATTTCTCAATCAAAATAAAGCATTTTTGCATCATTAATGAAATAATACCTTGAAAAAAAAAGCCAAAAAATATATGTAACTTCAAATTTAAATAGTGCAACCCCACCTCACAAAAACCAGAAGGCTTCACAAAAACCGGAAAGCTTTATTGTAGAAGCGAAGATTGAGGAAGAAATGGCTAAAAATGTTCACATGGGAGAAATAGTTAGCTGGGAGCTAGATGATAGAAATGTTGAATCTGTAGAGATGGTTAAAGAAGTAAAAAAAAGATGGAAAAAGTGAAGATGCTTGTGAAGAAGAATTTGATTAAAAGTGGAGAATCTTCTAACCATTTTGCTGAGGATATTGAGTTGCAGGAGAAAGAAACTGTGGGATACAACAACCTAAAAAAACGAATGACGGATATGGCAGATTAAGAACCCTTAGGATTCTTTTTATACAGGGTATATAGATTTTTAATTGAATTAAAAATTATAATAATAAAATTATACATATTTAAAGTTAAAAATTAAATTTGATGGAACATCCTAAATAAAAATCATTAAATTTGGAGTTGATTAATTAAAAGTGTACCAATTCATAATTCATAAAAACACGTCCATAAAAATCTTTGAGTTCATAGGTACAAAATCATTTTCATTGAATTGTTTTTTCTCCTTGGCAGTTTTTTCATTTTTAGAGAAGAATGCCAACCATCAAGCAATCAAACACGACAAAACCACTGCCAGACTCTTATCAGTTGAATATAAAAGTAAACTGCAACAACTGAACAGTTCCAAAGCTTCCTGGTCAGATCAGGGCAAACTAAACTAAATTAAACCAAAAGAACATGTCTAAAGCTATTCAACTCCCCATCATTGACTTGTCCTCAGAAGATCGTGTCTCCACTGCCAACTCTATCCGCCAGGTTAATAATGTTTTGCTCTTTCTTCAATCTTTTGGCGGTTGCACTTTGGGTTTATGTTTATATTTATTATTGTTCAATGTTTTATGATTAAAGTAAAAGCTGTGTTGCAACTTGCTAACGAGTTCTTGTTCTAGTTGCAAAGAGGAGGTCCAGAAATCTTGATTCTAGGTTTTTAAGTCCTGGGTTTGGTTTAATTTTATGTTGGATTTGTCCGGTTATGTGTTGGTTGGTTGGTAATATTTGATTATGTTTATGATTGTACTTGTAACTTCCTCAATTTAGGAATCGAGAAACAACAGAACCCCACCGTTAAATATGAATATTTGTTCATCTAAGCTCTAACTGCAATAGTGTTTGCTTTTAAATTAAGCAAAATTTCAGTTATGTAATGAGAGTGACAGCCAGCCAATCACCCCGCATGCGTCAGTATCCATTGTTCTGTATTTTTCTTATAGGTTTGCTGTTTTCACATTGCTGCAAATGTACCCATATGCTTGATTTATTTTGTAGCAAGAATAGTCTACTGAAGTGTCTGCCTTTGAGTTATTTCTATGGAAAACGAAGCAATTAAGGCTGATAGATTATCCAAATTCAGCCTTCACAATCATGTTCATTTCCAGTCCTTTCATGCTGATTTTTAAGAATATGCTTCAGAAGGATTAAGAGGGTTCAAAGTCTTAATTTGGGAATTGTATCTCAGGCATGCTTGGACCTTGGTTTTTTTTATCTTGTAAATCATGGTGTGGAGGAAGAACTGCTTAAGAAAGTTTTTGAGCAGAGTAAGAAGTTTTTCTCACTCCCAGTTGAAGAGAAGAAAAAGTTTGCTGTCAAGAATCACAGAGGTTATACAGAAATGTATGATGAGAAACTCGATAATAGTTTAAAAGCCAAAGGTATTTTGGCTTGATCTTTTTTTTTTCTGCTTTCTTGTTTAAGTTCCGTTCAGCACTCATGGCAACGAGATGGATGTGAGGTATTATGAAATAGTCAACACTATCTGAATAAACAAACCAAAGATGAATTTTGATTGCCAATCCAAATTCTCATTGCTTTTAATCTTGAATTTTTATTTTATCCCCTGGATGTGATCCATCAATTTGATCCACCCATCAAGCAGAAGTAATTATGGCATATACAAGATGTCTCTTTGCTTTCTTAATCAGTGGTTTATAGTATGTAATTAAGTCTAATTGAAATTGAAATTTGGGGTAACAATCTATCACTTTTGGCTGGTTGAAAGCAGGTGACTCTAAAGAAGGCTTCTATGTTGGCACATTAGCTGAAAATCACCAGAATCAATGGCCTTCTGAAGGTATGTGATGTAAGGTTATGAGTGCTTTCTGATTGTTAGACTGTTATATTTATGTTTAATGCTATTGTGTTGCAGTTGTGAACCATAAGAACTTTGTTGTGATCATTTTCCTAACTTTCTTGATTCATTTTTGTTTTCATCTTTTTGTATTGTATAAATAATTTCTTCAGATAAAACTTAAAGACAGCGATACTTCTTTTTTTTTTTTTTTGCTTGGGAATTTCAGAAGATCTGCCATCTTGGAGAAGCACAATGGAGGCTTACTATGAAAAAGTATTGTGAGTCCCTACTGTTAATTTCCATGTTGGAATTTATGGTTTGCAGATGGGAACAAAAATTGATAAATGATAATTCTAAGTTTAGAGGGGTGCTGTTTGATAATTTATAGCTTAGATGCATACTGATGAATTCAATCATCTCAGTTCTATCAATATTTTCCTTTCAACAAGTGTTTCTTCCTTAATTGAAAATTATGCTTGCTATTTTACATATTCCCCCATCAGCCCCTGCAAAGATCATGGTGTTTTGCCATTCAAAATTAGTTTTGTGATTTACAATTTACATTGGTCGGAAAATTATATGAGATAGTCCTGCCTATAGGGCATTATTCCACATACGGAAAGACTCTGCAAGTTTTACATAATACTAGATTTGCTGCTTCAGGTCTGCTGGGATGAAGTTAATTTCTTTGGTTGCCCTGGCTTTGAACTTGGATGAAGATTTCTTTCAAAAATTGGGAGCATTGAATGAACCAATGGCATTTTTGCGCTTGTTACACTATCCAGGTTTAGTGGCATTGCTTGTCTTCTTTATATCTCTCCATCTACTGAAGTGAACTATGTTATTGTTTTTCGGGCTTTCTTATACTTTATACCTTTCTTAATAAATATTTGGCCTTATACATGTATGTATTTAACAAGATTTTCCATTTTATCTTGTTCGTAGAACTCAAATTTTACACTCTTTGTCAGAATCCTTTACTGTGTCAATTTTCATGGACTTGGTGCATTTAGTGGAAATATGAAGTTAAAATTTGTGTTTTTCATTATATCCTGATCTTTTACTGTTTCAATTTTGATGGTTTTTTTGGCACAAAATGCAAGCGTCAGTCATGAGTTATTGCTTGCTGTCACCAATACAAAATTTTCTTCCACAATTTCTTTGATCAATTAAAATATTTTGAGGACAAAATGATATATAAAAAACAGATGGTGAAAAGTTCCATGTCATAAAAACTCTAAAAATATGACAATATGCCTCTTTTGATATTAGGGGACGTGGACTCTTCCAGGGAAGGAGTATATGGTGCTTCTGCACATTCGGATTATGGAATGCTCACTCTTCTGCTGACTGATGGTGTTCCAGGGCTTCAGGCATGTTTCTTGTTTGTAATTTGCAACCCTTAAATGTTGTATTTCGATACCACATGTTTTCATCTTAGTGCTAACAGGTTTGCAGGGAGAAATCCAAGCAACCACAAGTTTGGGAGGATGTGCCAAGCATGAGTGGGTGAGCAAATGATGATACAATTTTCATTTAAAGAGAAGTCTGATTTAATTCTTTATTCCCACCTTTCAACCCACTCCCAACGGAAAATATAAAAAATAAAGCTGGTTTGGGTAAAGATTGATATCCATTCCGATAGCAAAACAAAAATGTTGATAATCTGTAATGGAAATAGTGAACTAGATGTGGTTGTGCTTCTTGTGAATTAAAATACTATAAGCGTGTGTGGAGCTTCAAAAATAAATTTAGATTGCAATTAGTACCTTTATGTTGTTGCCTGTCGCTTTATCTTTGCTGATTTTCTACACCATAAGAATTGATAATAACTTCTATTTGGTTCTTCCAAATCCAAAGATGAACCCATACCTATACTTGCCATATCCAGCCTCTGAACATTGGATCTGAATCTGCAGGGCATTCATCGTTAACATCGGGGACATGATGGAGAGGTGGACTAATTGTTTGTTCCGGTAATTTGGTTGCCTGTTATCTTGAATACCTTTTGGTGCTTCTCTTGGAGGGTTTGTGAAATGTTTTTATAATGGCATTTCTAATTTATCTCCCTCTGATATGTGTCACTTATTTCTAGGTCAACAATGCACCGAGTGATGCTAACAGGAGAAGAACGCTACTCTGTAAACATTTTCCTTTACCTGTTTACTTTTACTGTCGTTTCTTGTGTTATCACATCTCAAGTGGTTCGGGAATAATTTTGCACATCTTTCATGAAAACTTTATGTTTGAAATATTTTGTTGACTATTCTTTTAATTTTGGCCAGCGTCGTATGAAGGTGTTATCTGTTCATGATTCTGATATGCTATCACATTCTTTTGATATCCAAAGTCTCCATTAGATTCTGATATCCGCATATTTCAATTGAGGAAGGTCTTTCTTGGTCTTAAAAGTTTTATAATGCAACATTTCAGGTAGCATTCTTTGTAGAACCCAACAAAGACTGTATAGTGGAATGCTTGGAGAGTTGCTGCAGTGAGTCTTGTCCCCCAAGGTATAGGTAAAACCAGTACTCCAGCTCGTGTTAATGGTCTTGGTTATGGTTAAAACAACCCGTCTAGTAGAATATCAATGACGTTCAGCTTGTTTTGTATTTATATGCGTATTCCTAACGTTTTATACCGATAACCGAAATGTTCATATGAAGTTGTTGGTTACAATACAGTTCATTGGCAAACATGATATGCATTGTTTTGTTATTTGCCCTTTACCACTTGTGGCCACTTTAAGAAAGATGATGGCACCTCTCTAACTTGAATAATCCACCTGCATTGGAGCTTAAAAAAGATTGGTTGAGCTCTGTTTCATGTCTAGTCGGAGCAAAGAATGTTTCACGTTTTATTCCACAAGAATCTCCACGACATGGGAGATGAGATAACTTCTTTTTATTTTAACATGCAGATTTCCACCTATCCGTAGCTCAGACTACCTGGAAGAGCGCTTCAGACTTGCAGCTACGGCTTCTGCTGAAAATCATCGGATTAACATTTAACAGCTACAATTAGTAATCCTTCACAGTTATGGAGCGCCTCAATAATGTAGGAACAATGACTGTTGATAGACTCATACATACTTGATCTTCAAGTGAAACAAAAGAAACTTGCTTTTGTGCTTTGCCACCAAAAATGCATCCAATTATATTTATTCTTCTGTTCTTGGTTGTTCTCCCTGTACATTATAAGATTAGATCCGAATCCCATCCAATAAAAGCTCATGAAAGTGAGGTTTAAGGTTCATTTATATGGACAGTGAAATTGAAAATAATAATAAAAGTGAAATTAATTATTGTAATAATAAAATTAAATATTATAATTGTAGATGAAAATTAATGATTTAAATATGTATTATGATGCAATCGTTACAATATTGATATAGTGATAGAATAAATGATTATTAAAAATATTAAATTAAATTTGATAAATAATAAATATTTTAAATTATTTATAAAATTAATAAATAATTAAAAATTTAAAAATTTATTTTTATATTAACGTATGATCCTTGCATTCTTACCAACTGGCTCTGTCTCATGCCCAGAATGCACCGTATGGATGATGAAATTAATTGTTGAACAGACGAGAAAAACAGAAAGAGCAGTGATATGATTGGAAGAAAGAGTTGTGATGAGATGAAGAGATTTTCACGGAACCTAAAACGTTCAATTGCTAGACGGAGGTATGGCTCGAGAAAATTGCTTCAAATCGTGTTGGATCATGACATTCAAATAGATGTCCAATGAATTTTTGGGTGTCAATTGCACTTCATCGTAGGTGCGATTGCATCCAAACGAAGCCTTAAGACTTGTTCTGTGTCTGGCCCAGGATAGCACTCCAGAAAGACCATCTCTGTCAGCCATGTAGGATAAAAAAAGGTGAGAAACTTGTGAAGATCGAAGTGCCAACCAGTTACTTCGAAGTTGGAATAATTATTTAGTTGACACGTGTCAGCCAATAAAGTTTATAAATTTCCTTCCTCTGGGTAGGAAAAACCTAGGATGTTACAGATGAAAAAACGAAGAAGGTCAGACGAGAAAATGCCAATCAAAACGATGTACGAGAAATGAACAATGGAAAACTTTTGTGGCTGAAATTAAATCATGACCGTACGTCGTAGGCTGATGATCACGTGGACCCATTACATGATGTCCCCTATTTCCACGTTTGATTGGATTCTTACGCATGCCATCTCAATGGAAACACACCGACAAAGATATTGGAGATTTATCTGTTGAACTTGAATCACATTACTTCGTTCCAAAAGTCTGAGCCGTCTGATGATAACATGGGCCCACAAAAGATTACCAGTACGATTTTGCTTTGATGGGGTCCACAAATAGATATATATAATTTTAAATGCTCTTGATAAAATGTCTATGGCTTTGGATAAAGTGAATAAAAGCATTGTATATTAAGTACTTTTCTTTCGGACGATAACTTAACTACCCTATACCCCATTATATGCTAGAAAATTCCACACGTCGTAATTGGAATCGATTTCCACGTGTACGGTCCACATGATCTTACAACCTTTTTATCTTGACCACGATTATTTTTGTCCCCAATAACGTCACTCGCCGTACACGCGTCATATCAAAACTTTCTTTCATTATGCAGTAACTTTTTAAAAATTATTTACAAAATCAGCAGTAATATTTTATTAATACCAACGTAAACTATCGATACTTTATTCTATCCTTTTTAATATCTTTAATATTTTTTACAAAAAAAATTGTAATTTACCGACTAAAAAAAAAAATTGACAAGTGTTAAAATTTAAAATTATTAAATATTTTTTTATAATAATTATATAAATTAATTAAATTCATTTTTTTGTTTTATTTTATATGACAACTCAAAATGTCATTGTATTAAATCAATAATATCTTTTATTTATTTATTTTTAAGCAGACATATACTAATAAAAAATTTTGCCTTCCATTGCGAACTTTAACAAGACTTGAAAGCAAAATGTTGAATCTTTCCTAAACAAAGAATCATCACCCAGCTGCTAAATTGGGTGTACATGTATTGTTTTTTTTTTTTTTTAAGTAATGCTTTAATATATATATTTTTTGTAATAATATATTGTTATATCTTAAATTTGCATCAAACAATATTTGGTGCATCAACCATAAATCATAGTCCTTTTGTTCATACTTTGGACAATTTTCATACCTCAAACTTACAAGTTTGAACTTCTATTTTACATCATTAAATCCCTTTTACGTAATTTTTTTTTTAATTATTTGTTATAAATATTTATTTTTTATCTATTTTTTTTATGATAGAGAATGCAATAGATAATAACAAAAATTATAGATTTTACTAACAAGAAATTGATTTAATTGATAAAATTATCTTTCTTAATGTAAGTAGCATTGAGTTCGAATCCAATTATTAGCTTTTTGTTCAAGTCATTTTAAATATATGAATTATAATAATAATTATTTAAGATATAAGAGATTGAATAACTTATTTAAATTTAAATTTATTATAAAAAATTATAAATTCGTATTTAAATTTTAAATTTATTATATATATCATATTTTAAAAATAATTATATTCTTTTTTTTATGTCATATTAATCAATATTTTTTTTCCTCTTATAAGCAAACAAAGATATTTATCCACATCTAACTTAAATATATTTTAGATTAGATAATCTATTTACTCATGAATTTATTCAAAAAAAATTATAAACCCATATTTAAATTGTAAACTTATTATATATATATATATCATATTTTAAAAATAATTATACTCTTTATTTTTTGTCATATTAATCAGCATTTTTTTATCCTCTTGTCGGCAAACAAAGATGTTTATCCACATCAAGCTTAAAGGTACTTTACCTTCACTTAATAAAGAAGTAAACATGTTTTTTTTTTCTCTGATTACGTAATGAAAAAGGTTTTTTTTTCGGCAAAAAATCAAATAAAAATAATATAATTCAAACCTTAGATCTTAATTCTCTTTTTTGGATAATACTTGCTAAAATTTTTTTATTTTAAAATTTAGAGACAACATAGGACTAAAATTTATTGTTAAAGAAAAAAGGAAAAATTGGATAAAGAATGGACGGACTGACGTCGAAGACTTGAAGTCAACTCCCCATACCATACGCATGTTGGTGTCCCACTCTTTTGACCAGATCAACGGCTAAAAATCCAAGATGTTCTAGTCTCCTAGAAAAACCGCGAAGCACCAGATCATTTATTTTCTCTGTAATAAAAACATGATAAATAGATATTGTCTCTCTCTTTCTGTCTCTCTCTCCCATCTGCTAACACAGCCAGAGGGAGGAGCCAAATAAAAATTTTCTTTTTGTTCTTCAAAAGCGAAGCCCCGACTCATGCGGTTCGGATCTGGATTATCAAAGATCCGATTCGCATCTATCTCTTTACTTTCCCGTCTGATCTGATCCAAGACGAACCTACCCGGCCTAGAAAAATGACTCGTCGCTGCTCGCATTGCAGCCACAACGGTCACAACTCTCGGACCTGCCCGAACCGAGGGGTCAAGCTTTTCGGAGTCCGGTTGACTGACGGGTCGATTCGGAAGAGCGCCAGCATGGGTAACTTAAGCCAATACTCTGGGTCGAATTCTGGCCCGCATAACGGGAACGGGTCGGGTTCTCCTGGTGAGGGTCCGGATCACGCTGACGGTTATGCTTCTGAGGATTTTGTCCCCGGGTCGTCTTCGAGTCGTGAAAGGAAAAAAGGTTTCATTTTTTTTAAGAATTAATTTGATTTTCCTTAAATTTATTTGCTTTATATTGTTTTAAGTTTTTATTCGGTGGGTAATTAGAGTAAATTCTATAAGTGATATAAGGAAATGTTCCAAACACTTAAAGTATTTGCTTTGGCTTAAGCTTTGGTGTATTCTTTTTTTGGTACAGTGAACACGTAAGATTTTTACCAAATTTTCACTTTTTTTTATTTTATTTTTATGTTTTGGAATAACCTCTTGAAAGTTTATCATAGACACTGAGAAGACTAGAAGGCAGTGAACAATGGTAGAATTTACATGGTATAGTAATGGCTAGGTGATTACTTTCTTCAATGATTTGTCTAAGCAATAGTATAGTAAGCAAGGGTTTGCTTTCTGCAATTCTAGAATTGAGTTATGATTTGTTTTATAGGTGTTCCTTGGACGGAAGAGGAGCATAGGATGTTTCTTCTTGGTCTGCAGAAGCTTGGGAAAGGTGATTGGCGTGGAATCTCACGCAATTATGTTATATCAAGGACTCCTACTCAAGTAGCTAGCCATGCTCAAAAATATTTCATCAGGCAGTCCAATTTTTCTAGGAGGAAAAGACGTTCCAGCCTCTTTGATATCGTAGCAGATGAAGTTAGTTACCTTTTCTCTGCAAATGATAACTTGATTGTCATATCTTACCTGTATGAATACCAAATTTGACGTGGTAGTTTTGAGTGGTTATTTGAACCTCTAACTACTTTTAACCATTAAGAAATTACCTGCATAGATATGACTAAGATGGGCATGCCCTTGAGATTCATTTCTTTGCCTGTGAAAATTTTACTTTATCATTGTCAGAATTTATCATTAGTTCACTTCATTTGTCTAAAGAATATTATTTTCAGAAGAAATACTTTGTTTTATACTCATATCAGAATGTGAAGCTGCAGTTGTTCCTATTTTAATGCGGTTTTTTGGTGTGTATAGTTATTCTAGCCTAGTTCTTTTAGAGATAATAGGCTTATACCAATATACTTACAATGCTCATATTAATATTCTTCAGTGGACTTGTTTTTAGGGATACATTAAAATTGCATCCAAAGCTGGTAAACATTGTGTATCCATCCCGTTTGCCCCCTTTTCTAGTTGTCTAAGAGATCTTTTTCTTCTTCACATTCTTGCAGTCGGGCGACACTCCAATGGTATCACAGGATTTGTTCTCTGCAAACCATTCACAGGCTGAAACACAGAGCAATGACCAGTTGCCTATTCCTCCTCCATTGGATGAAGAAGATGAATCAATGGATTCCAACAACTCGAATGATGGGGAAACTGTTCCTCCAAAGCTGGAGAGCTCACAATCCTGTTACCCAGTGGTATATCCTGCTTACTTCTCACCATTCATTCCATTTTCATTTCCATATTGGATGGGTTATAACACAGAACCAACCAAGAAGGACACACATGAAGTACTCAAGCCAACAGCAGTACATTCAAAGAGCCCAATCAATGTTGATGAACTGGTGGGAATGTCAAAATTGAGCTTGGGAGAATCTATTGGTGATAGTGGTCCGTCCTCTCTTTCATTAAAACTTGATGGTTCATCCAGGCAGTCTGCGTTCCATGCCAATCCTGCTTCTGGTAATTCAAGCATGAATTCAAGTGGGAGCCCAATCCATGCGGTTTAAGATCAACTTTATCTGAAATTTAGGTCTTAGGTTAGCTCAGGGTTTATGAGCAGTACAGGTTATTGTTAATAGAAGACTAAGACTAATAATGTGAAGTCTGGTTTGGGTTTAGTTATATATTTCTTTTGTGCGATCAACTCAATAAGTTTGTTTTTCTGTTTTTCAGTAACTTAATTCAATGCTTAGCTTAGGCTGCAGCATCTTGTTAGAAATTATTCGAATCTTTTAGCAGTTTGTTGGTATTGATTTGCCTAATATAGCTAATGCTGTACATTAGCTCAAAGTTGTGCAACTGTTGAGTACTTTTCTTGTATTCTTCGAACATCGGTGTGCATTCATCAATAAGCAGTAAGATGGAACTGTGACTGGGAATCCATGTCCCCTCTTCCTGCACTCTGTTCCATCTCCAATGCACCCTCCTTTCCCCTCTCTCCATTTCTATCACACCTGCTGAGGATGAGCTCTTTCATGTCTCCAATTCAAGAATCACATCACACAACAACAAAAAAATGCCTTGCGTTATCATTTAATATGCAACACATTGGAAGAAACCAAATGTATGGATGTGGGTGAGGAAATTCATTCTGCTGCAAGCTCTTGGCCATTGCAGAGCATGCAGTTGCCTTGGAACCCGGTTTTGTTGGGTTTTGTCTGTGTCTCCGGGTTTTAATTGATGTTAGTTTTGGCTCTAATGCCTAATGAGAGTTTTCTCATGATATTTGGATAAAGGTAATGTTGAGTTGTATCAAGTATAATTTGCAGAGCGGTTGGAAGGTTAGATTTGGGTTGTCGTAGAAGAATGAATGGCTAAATGGAAAAGAAAGAAGTTTGTTATGGTAGCCCATCCATGAAAATGGGTAACCCCAAAGAGCCCCTCGTGCCATTAAGACTATCATTGCCTATAACCAATTTTGTAGTCGTGGAGGGCCCGTCTAAAAAGCCCAACCTTTATCCTCCAGAACAAAAACCAATTCAGTATGTCAGCAAAGCTATGACTATACGCTAAGGAGATAGCAAGTATATAAAAAAAATTACTACTATATGTTAAAAGTTCTAAGTTTCAATTCAATAAATTTTACTGTCTCAAATTATTTCAGTATTATTAATTTTTGAAATTAAAAAAAATTAATTTTAATATATTTAATATTAAAATTTTTATGAAATTAAAATTTCATTATTTTTAATGTTAAAAAATTAAAAACTTAAAAAATATAAAAATAAAAATGTAGCTATTAAGAATAAAATTTTAAAATATTCCAAAAAAATTTTTAAAAAAGGACGGAGAAAGTAATATATAAAATTTCAGGTTCATCGTACTGTATAAAAAAATGCAATTTAATGGTCGGTGTACGATCATATATATTTCCAAATTCAAATGATGCTGTAAAACGTGGTCAAAAACTACTTTCTCCTTCTATAAAAACATTGACTTTTGAAGCTCGAATCACGGTTTTTTTTTTTTTTTTCTAAGTCGGCTTAAAAAAAAAAAAAGAAAAGGAAAAAAAAAGTAAAATAAAATGTTGTTCAAGAAGGACATTGATACAAAACGTCAACATTAATTTCAACAAGCTCTATCGTAATATCCAATTTATTTATACCAAATTTGGCCATTCCGATTTGCTTTGCCTTATTTCTTAGTTTCTTTCAATTTCTTTTTGGCATAACCAAAATCAAAACACAAATTCCCTTTTTTTTTTTTTTTAAATTTGCTCTTTTTTGAAATTTGGATTTGAATCGAGAAAAAATGGCGGCTTTGGATTACCACGCGGAAGAGAGGAGCAAGGCGGAGTTCGATGTGGAAGAGATGAAGATCGTTTGGGCTGGTTCACGTCACGACTATGAAATCAATGATCGAGTTGCTCGTCTCGTCGCAAGTGATCCGGTAATCTGTTTTTTTTTTTAATTTATCATTTTTTTCCTTTCGATTTCTTTTTACCTAAAACATGGCAGCGAAAAGTATATGAAAGCCAAGTTAATGTTTAGGCAATCTTCAGAGTTTTGATTATCGTAACTTGAAATTATTGAATTTATTATGTTTTGAAATTCCTGAACTTTTATCGATGAATTTCCTAATTTTCTTTCTGTTTGCTTCCCGAGCACATGTGGGAAATTTTTGAAGCTAATGTTTGGACTTTGGTGTCTTATTCCTAATTGGTTTGACAAGATATGTGGGAAAAGATTGAAGCTAATGTTTGGACTTTGGTGTCTTGTTCCTAATTGGATTGACAAGATATTGTTTACCATAATCTCTTATAATAAGATGTATTTTACTGTTTGTTTCTCACGAAAATGTAGGAAGAAATCCAATATTTGTTTGGTGTCTTAGATTCAGTACTCTATTTGTCTGTTAAATATGCAACAGCATTTTGGATGTTAAAATATCATGAAACATGATGTTCTTAAGGCTTTTCAGCTACCAGACAAGGAATAATGATTTCTTGTTTTGTTCCTTGAACTTGTTATAACTTTTATCTGTATCATAATTTCAAGTTCCTTTGTTTCTGTTTGTCACTTAAGTCTTATTAATTCTTGAGATGTGGCGAGGAGTAGAAGAGTTAAGTTTTAAGTTTTAACTCTAGGGAAAAGAAAGCTTGAGGAAATTTCATAATTTACCTTGAGTTGTGCTTGGATTTTTTGATTACTGAGTTTTGGTGATTGGTAGTTGCAAGGAATTGGCATAATTGGAAAGTGAAATGAAGGAAAGATATAATTTACAGGTTTCTTTCACCTGGTGGAGGGGCTATTATTTTTCTGCCTGTGCCAGTGATCTTGTTGTAATTCTCTCTTTTGCTTTTTGTCCTTGATATTCAAGATATCTAATTTTTCCCTCCAATGACCTAAAGGACTAGAGCCACTTTTCATTTTGGCATTTTACTGTCATTCTTTAATATTCTTGTTGCTATTTTCACAAGGTCTTTCGAAAGGATAATAGAACTATGCTAACAAGGAAGGACTTGTTTAAAGATACTTTGAGAAAAGCTGCTCATGCATGGAAGCGGATAATTGAGCTTCGTCTCTCTGGTTTGTTTTCAAGTGGTTTCTCTTCTTCTTCTAAATTGACTTTTCCCTTAGATATCTGAGTAATACTAAAATCTTCTTATAACAGAAGATGAGGCCTATAAATTAAGATTTTATGTGGATCAGCCTGCTTTCACAGATCTTCACTGGGTAAGTTCTAATTTTCTTTTTCTGTTTGTAAGCTTTCCAACAATTTTATATGCCACTTCTATGCTAAGCAATATAAATGTTTGGAAAATGCAACATACCTTGGTTAACTTCATTAGTTTGCCAAATTTAATATTAAATGATGGTCTCTTTGTGCTCATTTCTGGGTTTGAAATACTTATAAAAAGGGCTTTGAAGTGTTTTCTTAACCTCCTAACCTATATTTTCTTGATAGGGAATGTTTATACCTGCTATTAAAGGACAAGGAACTGAGGAGCAGCAAGAGAAGTGGCTGCCAATGGCATATAAGATGCAAATAATTGGATGCTATGCACAAACTGAACTTGGTCATGGCTCCAATGTCCAAGGGCTTGAGACTACTGCAACATTTGATCCTCAGACTGATGAATTTGTCATTCATAGTCCCACATTGACTTCAAGCAAAGTGAGTAAAATGGTTAACAACCCTTTAGCTAATTCTTTTTTTGATATTGATTAATTACGTCATTCTAAGCAATGTTTCATGAGAGGTGCTTTTTCATTCTCAATGTTTTTTGGCTAAGACACCCTCAAGTCCTCTTTTCTTTTTCTCTTGTGTGCAATGTGTAGTTTTGTTATAAGTACTTTATATTCTTTATGAAAGGTTTTAATTTTATATTGATCTACGTGTATTTTCTTGACTTGACATTCCCTAATGGGGTTTTTGTCATTAATAGTGGTGGCCTGGTGGATTGGGTAAGGTATCCACACATGCTGTGGTTTATGCTCGTCTTATAACAGATGGAAAAGACCATGGAGTGCATGGTAAGTGCCAAATGCATAAACTTAACTTTTTAGCTGGTATTTCAGATATTAATTCAAAAATTCCTTTTTTTTGTTTCAGGTTTTATTGTCCAGCTGCGTAGTTTGGATGATCACTCACCTCTTCCTGGCATAACAGTCGGTGATATTGGAATGAAATTTGGAAGTGGAGCATATAACAGCATGGACAACGGTGTTCTGAGATTTGATCATGTGCGCATTCCAAGGAACCAAATGCTAATGCGGTATGTTCTTTAACCATGCCTCTCTACATCTTTGTCTCTTTTATCTCACCTGTTATTTGATGTTTCTCTGGTCAACCATCTTGTGGAGGGAATTTAAGGTAACCAATAAATTTAGAATTGCATGGTGGGAAGTATCTTCTGAATAAGTCTTTCTTGGATGATTCTGTAATGAGCGGTTGTCTTGAGTGAAGATAGCTAGATGCAAAAGTTTATGTTACTTCGCTTAACCCCGGGGAAGTTTTAGACTGCTCAGAAATGTGACATTTATAAAATTTCTTTCCTTGATAGAAGAAAACCTCCCAAAAGAAGCCAAAAACTTATAACCAAGGTTCAAGTGTCACTCCTATAGCATGATTTTCGTGGATAAACAAGTTGACTGTTCTGAAGTTTGCTTTTCTTTTTCCTCTCCAAATGTCTCAGTGATTCACAGGTTACAAGAGAAGGGAAATATATGCATTCTGATGTTCCTACCCAGCTGGTTTATGGTACTATGGTCAATGTCCGACAAAAAATTGTATCCAATGCTTCTGGTGCTTTATCAAGAGCAGTTTGTATTGCAACAAGGTATAGTGCTGTACGCAGACAATTTGGTTCACAGAATGGTGGTCCGGAGACACAGGTACTGTTGTCTTTTGGATCTTATACACATACACATGTTGTTTCAAGTATGGACTGCCATATATAGCAATATTTATTGATCACTTCTAATGGCGTTCTCTTTCACTTAGAAACTTTTCAAATAATTGTGTTCAAGAGTCTGTGATTTGCTGCTGCTGAATTTTCAGAATTAATTTTGCATGTGCTGAAGGCTGATGCATCTGATGCTTTTACATTTATTTATTAATTTATTTCAGGTGATTGACTATAGAACTCAGCAAAGTAGACTCTTTCCTTTGCTTGCTTCTGCCTATGCTTTCAGATTTGTTGGTGAGTGGCTGACATGGCTGTATGCTGATGTGACCCAAAGATTGCAAGCCAATGATTTCTCCACATTATCTGAAGCTCATGCATGTACTGCAGGGTTAAAATCTATTACTACTTCTGAAACTTTAGTATGTCACTTTACTAACATTTACCACTCTTCCTTCTTGTAAATATATTAATTATTTTTGGTTGGCTGGTTATTTTGTATAATAGTGCTTGTATCCCATTTTCATGGCATACTGGTCTCTCTTTTAAAAAATTTTGGCAGTCATTACGAAATAACAGTCATAGCACCTTGTTTTTACTTTTTTCTTTTCTTTTTTTTTTTTAATGCTTTGAGCTTGACTATAATAAATATGGTTGCAGGATGGGATTGAAGAATGCCGAAAATTATGTGGTGGTCATGGTTATCTTTCTAGCAGTGGGCTTCCTGAGTTATTTGCAGTTTATGCCCCTAACTGTACTTATGAAGGAGACAATATTGTGCTGCTTTTACAGGTGTGTCAAATGAGAAATATTATCACTTTTATTTTTGAGGCCTTTTGTCATCTTCATTTTGTTCTTTAGATGGTAGGGGATGAATTCCAATGTTTTAATGGAGACTTAATCTGAGTATAGAGTAGCATGTCTTGTGATCTGTTCTAAGAATCTTTGACCAATAGTAAAGAAGATGAAAGGGATATCACAATTGAAAATAGGGAATGAACCTAAAATCCTTAGATGTTGTGTTGATAATAATGCTGAGTATCATCTATTGACAAAGTGTAAACGTTTCTATAGGTTGCAAGGTTTCTAATGAAGACTTTTTCCCAGCTGGGGTCTGGAAAGAAGCCTGTTGGGACAACAGCTTACATGGGACGAGCAGAACACCTCATGCAATGCTGTTGTGAAGTTGAAAGGGGTATCTGTTATACATTTTTCTTCTCTTGAGCTTGGTTACATGTTGTATTTGCTTTTAAAATTTTCATGTCTTGGAAGATTGAAAATTGCATTTTTTCAAACATTAATTAGGATTTGCCCAGTTTGTATAAGTAGGTTGGCTCGTCCTTACTGATTTCTAAGCAATTTTGAGCTTAATTCAGTTTTATCCTCAAATTGTTGTCAACTTATAGATTGGTGTACATGGTGCTAATCTTACATCAGCTCATTGACAAATTATTATCGATTTAGGTAAATCACAATATAATAATTTCATTCCTTGTGTTGGCTTGCAGCTGAGGATTGGTTAAAGCCTAGTGTAATATTGGAAGCGTTTGAAGCGAGGGCTGCTAGGATGTCTGTTTCCTGTGCAACGAACCTTAGCAAATTTTCAAATCCAGAAGAGGGTATGTCCTCTCTACCTTGATTGAGGAATGAGAGATCTCTTTTGTCAGTAATTTTTTCTTGACATGTTACTCAACAAAGTTAACTCTTGTATGGTCCTCTAGTAGATGGTCATGCTCTCAATTCTTACCATAAAATTTGGCATACTCTAAGTCATAATTTAAACTTTGAATGAGTTTTCAATGAACATCATTTTGTTATGATAGGCAAAAAATAGTTCCAACGATTTATGGCAAAGGTTGTGCAATAGCCTCTTTGTTGAAGTTATTGATGTCCATAAGCTTGATGTGATTCTACACTATCTGTTTCTCTTTAGGTTTTGCTGAACTCTCAGCTGATTTGGTTGAGGCTGCAGTTGCTCATTGTCAGTTAATTGTTGTTTCCAAGTAAGCTTCCACAGTCTTATCCACTCAGAATGTTGGGGACACAAAATTAATGATTAATGAGGTTTCTTATTGGGATGCTCTGCATAAAGTCGTATGAAATGATTGGTGTTTTTAATGGAAGGAGCCAAACTCTAATCCCTCATAAAATTTTAAATTTCATGGCAATTTTTAAGGAATTGGCTACAGAAGTTGAATGGGATCCATTTATTCTTGGCTGCTTTTGTTTCTGAAAAGATTTCTAAGAAACTTCATTTTCAGGTTTGTTGAGAAACTGCAACAAGACATACCAGGAAAGGGAGTGAAAAGACAGTTGGAGATCCTCTGCAACGTATATGCTTTGTATCTTTTACACAAACATCTTGGTGATTTTGTCACCACTGGCTGCATTACCCCCAAGCAAGGTGCACTAGCAAATGAACAGCTGAGGTTATTGTACTCCCAGGTTTGTTTCAATAATCCGGTTTAGTTAACATGTTGGTCAGCTTGAAAGGCTGCTATAATCCAATAGTTCTGATCTCATTTTTTTCTCAGGTCCGTCCAAATGCTATTGCCCTTGTTGATGCATTCAATTACACTGACCACTACCTTGGCTCGGATCTTGGTTGCTATGACGGAAATGTGTATCAAAAACTCTATGAGGGAGCATGGAAGGATCCTTTGAATGATACCGATGTGCCAGATGGTTACCATGAGTACATTCGGCCAATATTGAAGCAACATATTCGTACTGCAAGACTCTAAAAAACCCAATCAACATGTCAACTGTATACTAGGTTTGAATTTGAAACTCTCTTTTGGGTGCGGTTATCAATTAGTTTATACCACAATATCGATGAAGAAGGATATAAAATCATTAGTTTACTTTTGTAACTAATGGCATCACTTATCATAATACAGGTTTCATTAACGACAGTGGTTATTTTCGTTAATCTAGTTAATCAGTATCTTTAGTTTCCAAATTCTGGTTTTTGCTTTGAGGTAAGTTTTGATACAACATTTCTTTAGTCTCAAATTCACTATGAACATGTATATATTTTGTATGCTATTTCTGGTCTCATGTTTGTTCCCATCAAGTGAATGTTCATGAACTCTTTCTTTTAATATATAATACTCATGAATCCATGTTTTTTAATAGGTGTGTGCATGTCGCATCTATAGCATGCAACAAATTCTTAATTAGTTTGCTATGTCATAATGTCATAACAGAGAAGGATAGAAATTCCAAAGTCTTTGAATTAAACTTTTGCTTCATGGTTTTTGGCCATTGGATGAATTTGATTTTGAGCATCTTTTGTGCATCTGCCTTCTTTGTGGCGCAAACTACAGCTTGATAAAGATAAATATAAATTATAGCAATGATCTGATTGTTACAAAAGTTGTGCTTTATCCTCCATTGAGAATGACAATAGATTAGGGATCGTTGGGTATTGTTATGTGTTTTCATGTCAAATATAATAAAAAAAATTTAATTTTCTTTTTTCCTTAATTTTTTTGTTTCCATTTTTCTTCCTTTTTTTTAAACATAGGGTAAGTCTAAATGAAGTCCAAAAATACCCTTTACAGTATTATAAAAATATGTATATTTTAACCATTAAATGTAAATATAAATGTGCATAGACTTTTACAACTTTTGGGTGCTCCAAACAATTTGCGTATGGAATAATAATGTTAAACGTTAATTGATTAATACTCCCAACTTAACATCACTTATGAATTGTAGCGGCACTGTAGCTGAACGGGTGAACAGTACATGTGCGCTAACAGTACCAATATTGTTTCTAAAAATTTGAAAACACTATTTTTTTTTATTATCAATAATTTCAAAAAAAAATTAAAATTTTTTTTTCAGTTTTCAAAAACAAAAAATAAAAAATAACTTACGAAACATATTTTTGTTTTCAATCTTTAAAAATCTAAAACGAAAGCTGAAAACAGAAAATGAAAAACGGAAACGTTACCAACCGATCCCTGAACTTGCAATTCCTATATCTTTTCTCAGGCTACCAACAACCCAAAATTGCAATTCGTTTGACTTTCCATACTTAGTTTCTGCTAATTGCTATTGTTCATACCATGATATGAGCTGTCATAGAATAAAACAGTAAGAATTTCCTTTTGTTTTTGGTAACATATGTTGAAAACAGAGATCGTTTAGTTGTTTTATATTAAGATTAAACCTGTCATTTGTGTTTTTGGAAGAATCTAATCAGCAGTGATTGTGAGACACTGTTTCCAGATAAGAATGACGCATCATCCATATACTTGTCAATTATGCATTTCAATTTCTGCAGAAGCTTTCGGGTATAAATGTCCTTGCAAATTCATCAGCTTCTCCATGTATTTTCAGCAATGCTCATCATGTTTTGTTTCTTGAGGTCGCCCATAGGCCTAACTTTGCTATTTCATCAAGCAAAAGATAGCGATGCTGTTACATCAGATCAGTGATTTACCAGATTATCTGCCGACGATGTGCATCACATTTTGATCCTGAGGAGGAAACCTAGCTGCCATTGCTGCCCGATGTTTCTCCTTGTTAACTGGGTAATCATTGCAGTTAGAAGGAGCCCTGTGGATCTGGTGATGTGCACAAGGGCAGCCATTGTTTTTCCTAGGTCTCTCTTAAGGAGGGACAAGCGAAAGAGAGGTTGTGCTTGCTGGACTAGGTCTTTTGGAGAAGACATGAGGCAATCCCAGGTGCATCTAAGGACCTCCAGATGGTTAAAACAAGCCAGGTGCCTGTGGTGCTTGTTAAAGACCCAAATCTTTTTATTCCAAAAAAAAAGAAGTGCATATATTTGTATGATTGACTGCTATGGGAAAAACGAAATTCAACTTCGCAACAATCCCTTCCTTCCCCCAATTTCTGAGTTGTGACACTTTATCCCTGTTTTTGAATGGACAAACCACTGCTAAATTCCCGGTCGACATTTGCATATTCATTAATCTAACGATTGTATTCTACTATCCAAGGCTTTTTCTTTTTTAATGTAAGAATTACCATGGGTCTAGATTCTTAACTTCAAACTGTAGCTTCCTGTGCATCACCTAGCAAGCATCAAAGTTCAATGAATGTTCAGATTTCTGGAATGCAAGGGAAATGTGGAAGGGAACATGGAGCTAAAAACCTCTAAAAAAAAGTTAAAAACCAGCTGGCAGTGCACACCCTGATGCAGCTGGACTCACTAAGAAAGTAAGTTCAATTTTGCTTTTACCACAATAAATAATAAAAAAAATTACCTTACTCATCATTGTAGTCAAATTAACTTCACTTTAAAGAAAAAAAGGAGGGGGGGGGGGGGGAGTAGTCAAATTAAATTGGCTGAACTCCACCGTCTTCAGCAGTAAGTTTTACATGGCGGAAAATCATGGCTAAAAGCTTGCGCTGCTGCATGCATGCCCTTGGAACTTGTAAAACCATCCATCAAAGTTATACCAAAAGTCTTGAGTAGATAAACATTCCCAATAGAAATAGAACTCTTAATCATGCTCAAACAGATGATAATATTTCCCCATTGTTGAAGATAACATCCTGGAATTTATTTCAAAGTAGTACAGATCTTTCCTTTGGAATGATAAAATATGAGGCTCACACAAGAACATTCTTCAGACATGTATGTCCACCATTCAATCTATTTCTTTCCTTTTTTAAAAAAAAAAAAAGAAAGGAAAAATTGGAAGGAGGGAAATTGAGAACTGTCGCTATTACCATTTGCTTTTTATTATTCCAAGTGCGACACGAAATGAGAAAGACATTCTATGTAACTTAAAGAAAAGACACCAAACTTCAATGCAGTTCGCCTGCTGTGCTGATTGTCACTGTTGCTCTTAAATTCCGTTATCATCTACACAAACAGCATATATATCTGGTGGGATTTGCACTTCTGAAACTTCTCCCTCATACAATTAAGTTCATGTCTGAGGTTAGCCCTTCTGCAAATTTTTGGCATCCCCCAGAATCCCTGATGTTAAAATTAATTATAATCAAGCACGTTCTTGTAGTTGTTGTTGCTGATCAGAGGTTGAAGGGTAATCTCTTTTCCAATTCGTTCATTTTCACTTGCGATTTTATTTATCATAAACTTTTGAGAAAAAAAAAGTAAACAAATTAATCTTAAATTCTTGTTATATATGATTAAATACAGATCTTTGGTTCTGGATTTTTAAGAATTTGAGTGAAATCAAATTTTTATTAAGAAAGTTAAAATTCAAAAATTTATTCTTTTAATAAAAAAATAAAGATATTTAAAATTGTGTAGGTTGGGTTTAGATCAATGAGAGGATCACATATTATTTATTAGATTTAGGGGGCACCAATTAAAAATTTATATGAAGTGGGTAAGGTGATGATAGTATTTCCTGCATCATTCTTGTCTTCTTCTATATTTTCTTGTTACCCAAACATAAATATATGAATATTATATTCGATTTATGATTTTTCTTGCACTCAAAATCAACTAGCAACCTTTTATTTGGGGCTGCTAAGCATTATTAAAACATTAAAAAATGTCAAGTTTCAACTGTTCATTCATTTTCTAGAATACATAAATTTCAATGAATCAAGCAAAAGAAAAAAGGCTCTTAAGATTAGTTTGGTACTTTCTTTATTTGTTTTAACATTGTTAAACTTAATTTAATTATTAGCAAATTCAACAAAAGTTAAAATCATATTAGTAATTAAATAATTAAAAAGTAATATATCAAAAATTTTAATTTTTATATTTAAAATGATAAAAAAATTGAATCTTAATTATTGAAATTATTTTTTTTTAATAATTTTTAAAATTAAAAATAACAAATAGAACTTTGAAATATATCAAAGGCAAAAGATTGGCACTATATTGTTAATGCCCCTTTGATGTTCTTCAACAACTAAAACAATGTCATAAACATTTATAGATGATGTTCTTAATAACCAATTAAATCATGCAGAGATTAGTTAAGTAAAAATGTTGATAGAAATTGACTTAAGTGATTAAGGTTTAAGAACTGAATGCAAAATACCTAAATCAAACCCCTACAGATCCCTATCAGTAGACGATCTGTAAGTTTGAAATGTTCTTGTAAAAAAAAATTTGTAAATTTTTTTGTGGGTTAGTGACTTGGCTTAACTTAAAAAGATGGAATAACCTTCTCTATTTCTAAAATTTTTTGGATAAAAAAAAATTAGTTTGTCTCTGTGGGAATATAAACCTAAACACCCCTTGTCTTTATCCTACATATGTCATGTTTAATAGGCCAAATATGTTAAGTTTAATACCAATATGTTATCCTACATGGATCGATGCCAGTTTTCAAGTGAAATGAATGGCTTGAATTTACAAAAGTTTTGCCCAAAAAGCAGATATTGTTGGACCACAAGCAATACCTCAACTAAACTTCTAAAATATCAACTTTAGACTAAGATGAGCAAATTGGAAATTGAAATTGCTTTAATCCTTCAAGTAAAACTCGTTAACAGGGATAGCTAGATAAAGCCAAAAACGTGCATTATTCAAAATTAATTTGGGGTAACAAAGTAACCAAATTGTACATCTTCTTTTGCCTAATTAGGCCCCATTGCCTTGAACACACTTTTTCTTAACTGTATAATGTGTCAAGCAATTATAAGAAGCTATCTCAGCTTCTTCTTCTTCTTCTCCTACAAACAATGCCTTTCTCCAACTACTCCAAAAGAATATCCACCATGGAAGAGCCACTGGATGCTTACTCTTCATCCCCTCTGGCAAATGAGTCGACAGAATTCAAGTCCAAGAAAATTCAGGAAGTAAAAGTTGCAAATGAAAGCAAGAGAAAGGTTAAAAATGGTGAAATTGAGGGGAAACATCCAACATATAGGGGAGTGAGAATGCGTCAATGGGGCAAATGGGTATCTGAAATCAGGGAACCGAGGAAGAAGTCAAGAATTTGGCTAGGCACATTTCCTACAGCTGAAATGGCAGCTCGAGCACATGATGTAGCAGCACTTGCGATTAAAGGCAAGTCAGCTTATCTTAATTTCCCTGAGATAGCTCATGAGCTTCCCCGTCCAGTTAGTGCATCACCAAAGGATATCCAAGCTGCTGCTGCTAAAGCAGCTGCCTTAAGCAACACGAAAAGCCATGAATTTGAAGAAGAGTTGAGCCAGATCGATCAAATGGTTCCACGTTCTCCAGGAAGCATAGTCACATCTCATGACACTCCAGAGTCTTCAAGCTCACCTTCAATCAGTAATGATGATGCATTTATTGACCTTCCAGATCTTTTGCTGGACATGAACCATCAGATTGATGAGTTCTGGGGCTCATTGTCATGGCAGCTGGCTGCAACTGATGATCCTGTTGAAAATGGGTTTAGATACGAGGAGCCTCGCCTTTGGGAACACTTGTTAAGTTGTGTGGAATCTAATTATTATCCTAACATTGATTGTTTTTATGCAAAATGAATACGTGAATCTACCTTGTAATATCTCTTTTTTCTTAATGAAAATTTTGATAACTGCTGCCAATCTGACGTAGTTCTCATATTAAGAGTGAACAAGTATTTTCTTCTTTTTTTTTTTGAAAAATAGAGTTTTAATTCTAACAACGCTGCTGGAGAGAGTTAGAGAAGAGCGAGCAAATCCCAACTTGCCTGTAATATTTGAAGCTTCCCAGGCTTAGAACATTAGTCACTAGGAAGTCCACTTTTCTTCAATTTACACCAACAAAATCAATTTGCTTGAAGACAAGATGGAATTCAAAGTTAGATTTGAAATCTTACTACCCAACATCCCACCCTGGAATTATATTAACTGACAGGTCACTGTTCCTCCATACCAAAATCACCATGTTCAAGATAACAGGGGACCTTTACCCTTCCTGATTTTAAGTCAAAATGAACATTGTACATCGATCAAGTTCTATGCACATTAAATGGCCTGATCTTCTCTATTTGCTTAGCTTTCAGTTGATGTTGTAACTTGACAATTGTCTACATAAATTGCTAGAAACAAGGTATAGATTATAAGATTGGAGTTCTTACAGTACTGTACTTTTTTTCCCAATTTTTGAGCATCATAATGCAGAGGATACATATGAGACATATTTGAGTCAGAATTCACCAACCATGCTAAATTTAGAAACAAGTATATGACACAGCATCAAAGAATTACATCATGTGCTGATGAATTCTTTTGTTTGTTTATTAAATACACTAATTATTAAAATAATTTAAAGCTGATGCTCCATGTGAGAAAGAAAAACGCATCTAGAAACATTGATCTTTCCCTTCTTCACCTGATTAAAGACATCAAAGGAACAGATTTGGAACATCCATTTATGGGTTTAAAGTTCGGAAAAGAAGGGGCAAAAGCTCACAAATTCTTGCTTTAAAAACATAAAAAATCGATTGTTTCATCTCAAATGGGACTTTTATAAGAAAGAAAGATGGTGTTATTACAGAAAGGATTTCCAAAAACAAGTGCCTACATTTTGATAATCTTGCTTGGCTACAATAAGCCTTCAGTCAACTTTGGCCTTAGCCCCCACCATTTTAATATCATAGAGCTAAGAAATCTTATTCTTTTTTTTTCTTTTCTTTGATTGGAAGACAAAAACAACAACAACCCATTTAATAATTACATTAGCTGTATCACCAAAGGTTAAGTGGCAATTTTGGTCTTATCTTTATCATCTTTTTCATAACTCATAGGGTCACTTCTCCATCTCCATCAATATCTGCCTTAGCCTTGTTCTTGTCTATAAGAAAGGTCAAGAAAAACCACATCTTTTTTCTTTTCTCATGAGGCTATATTGTATTAATTTCAAAAATGTTTTGATCTTGATAATTGAGATAAATATATATATATATATATAATTTTTTATAGATTTAAGTAAAATTTTCCTTCAAGATTAAGGGGTGCTCAAATCAACATTGATTTCTAATAAAAACAATTCAAGAAAAAAAATGAGCAAAAAGTTTTACTAAAAAAAATTAATGGAGATACAAATGATTAATCAGTCATTATCAAGGTCCCAATTCAATAATTTGCTTTATATTGATCTTAACAATAAAAATAAGTCCACATATTTCCATGGATTCACCTAAAACATAATCATTCATGGAATCTTGACCACATTTAATTGGAGACCATTGAACAACAAAGAGAGGGATTGAACATGTATAAGATAGTACAAGAGAAATTAATAACAAAATCATATTATTTCTTTAGAGGAAGCTTCAAATACATAATCATATCTAAATTTGTAATTGAGAATTAAAATATACATTATTTTTTTGAATACATGAATATGAGTAAATTATACTTTAAAGAAAGAGGCAACTAACTTTAACAACTCCCATTATTTTTTATATAGTTTTATAAACATATTCATGGTTCTAATTTCTAATAATTGGACCCATACAATGACTTGACTTGGTGCACTGAAATAAAAATTTTGCAGATAACATAACATACAAATTGTCTAAATTATACCAAAATTATATATACAAAAACTACGTCGTATTGCTCAAAAAAGTAGAAAAATAAAATGCACAAGAGAAAGGGACTTGTCGGAGTGTGACAAAAGCATGCTATGTTTTAAAAGTGACATAACATAATTAATTAATTCTTTCTCAAGTCGAAATAATCAATGTTCTAATGTGGAAAAGTTTTAAATTGTTTAAATTGATTTTTTTTTGGGTAAAGATTCAGATTGACATTGACTTATCCATTTTATTATTATCATTATGCTTCTAACGCACATAGTTTACTTCTTTTTTAACATTCCAGCTAATTTCTTCTCAGAAACATAGATTCTTTTTGAAAAACATTTAAAAAAAAAAAAAAAACTTTGGGTATGGTTTCAATTATCCTAAACTTATAGAAACCCTAATCTTAGGTCATAAAATAAAGACATATGCATTTCATCATTCATCATTGATCTTTGTTTGTTTATCAACTACAACTGTGATTGAGTAAATTGGGCTGTCTTATAATTAAAAGTTTGTGATTTGTTTAATTTCTTGATAGGTCTAAGCCACAATTGAATTCATTTGAAAAGAAAATTAAATAAATAAATAAATAATTCATTGGCTATTGATAATGTAAATCTCTAAGGGTTCAAATGATTTTGACTTAAAAAAAGATAATTAAAGCGTAATTAATTGAAATTGCCATTGCCCATCCTATTTTGAATACCTTAAAACTATACTTTGTTACCATACATATAAAGAAATAATTAAAATTTTTTTGAAGTAAAAAATAATTAAAATTAAATATTTACAGATCATCACATTATAATTAACTATATTTAATGGGGCCTTTAATTATAAAAGCTTCAAAGATTAATGTTAGTTGGATCAAAGTTGCAAAATTGGACAAAAAAAATTGGACGTTGAACTCGATATCCATTTATTAATTTCTATATATATGCCAATTTTAATTTTAGAATTCTTTTCTCTTTAATAATGCAATTAATCATAAAAATGTGCACCAATTGCAATTTTATAAACAAATATTTTAATACAATCAAAAATAAAATATTACGTAATTACCACTTATTAACACACTTGAGGGATATGTATATATTAATTTTTTTAATTTTATTATTATTATTATGCCTGTGGTTGATCAGTTGGCTAATAATAGTGACAGACAAGGTTAGATTGGAATAAAGCATCTTACATTATAATTAATCAGATGAAAATATATGATTAGCTAATAAGATTGAATAAAGATAATTATAAAATATATACTTTTAATATGATTAGAAGTAGGAATCAATTGCATGAATCTAAACATGCACGTCTCTTTTTTTTTTTTTCATTATTTTTCTCTTTCTCTTCTTCTTTATTTTTGAAGATTTAGATCAGTGGGTGTCAGACAAAAAAGGGAATTAAAGCAAGGGAAGATCAGAAAAGAAAAAATATTTATATGCAGAGGTAAATAAAAAAAAAAGTGGAAAAGAATGAGAAAGAAAGAGAAAGATGATGATGATGGGTCTCTCTTTACCACAACCCTAAACTTGGAAGACAAGCCAGAATATGTGTAGTCAACGATTCAGGAGTTTTTTTTTTTTTTTTTTAATATATATATATATATTAAATTTATCGATGAATTTATTAATTTTATCAATAAAAAATATATCTAAAAAAAAATTTGCCCAAGGCAAATGGTACCACTATAATAATAAGAGTCAACATTTTTGTTATTAGTGTAGTTAAGCCATGGCATCTAGAATTAGATCCTAAGTTTTTTTTTTTTTTTTTTTTTTTGTTGTAGATTTCTATGTTATCACTCATCAACCAACTGTAAAAGGAAATTAAAAGAAAAATATTGAAAGAAAATCCCCTTCCAATATTCCATTACAAATCCATAAGAACAAAAGTTGAGCCCTCGTCTTTTTCTCATACCCACAAACAAAAAAATCTCCTTCCTTTCTTTCAAATGCAATGAGGCAGGCGGCTGCCAGAAGTAGCTGCTCTGGGAACACTTAATAATGGAAAGGGTGTAGTTTTTTTTTTCTTTTTTCATTAAAGTTTAGGAGGAAAAATTATATTATCTTCAAAGTTAGGATAATTCGTCAATTTATGAGAAGATTTACGGATTTTTTTTTTTTTTGAAATTTTTTGAATTTATAAATTATTTACAAATAAAAGGCCGTAAAAATTCAATATAAATATTTTGTATTTAAGTCTTAAATAAAAAAGTGTATATAATATATATATATATATATTTATATATATATAGAAAAAAACATCATCAGCTCTGCACAGCCACAATGTCCTTCTCATTTCCCGTTTCACTACAAATGAGCATTTGAACAATGTGACAATGATAGCAAGAAAAGTGCCGGCACTCTTCTTTTTTTTTTTTTTTTTTTTTTTTTTTTCAAGTTTCTATGATCAACTGATGTATTTTTGGACCACTCTCTTCATGGATGAGATGATTAAATTCAATCGCGTGCTCTTCAAAGTTTTGGGGTTTTTTGTTTTTATTTTTGTTTTTTTGCTTTGTAAAATATTTGGGAACTGCAGATGATACACGCGGATTGTACAGCATCGATGGGGCATCATGATCTTGACCTATGACTATGAAATTTCTCAAGTAACTATAATTTTGATCTTGTTCTTAACTTATTATATACGCTCTTCTTCTTTTCTTTTCTTTTCAAGGCCAAATATAGGAGATTCTTTTCTTTTCTTTTTCAAAGCCAAATATAAGAGATTCTATAAATGGAGGTCGACATGCTATTTTATGTTAACCTTCATTCATGAATCATGAGAAAGTTTAATCATATATTATATGAATTAAAAAAATAAAAGGATTCTTGATTCAAAATTGATTAATAATTTCTTTGAAAGTTCGATTAAACAATTAAATTTAATCCAAATATATTTTTTAGTATCTCAAAATCTTTTAATTAATTTAAATAAATAACGTAAACTTACAATATTCGATTTGATAAAAGATATGATTATATAATATTTAATTATATTTATATCGTTTAACAAATATTTTCATCAAATTAAATCATAATCCATTTTTTTAATTGAACTAAATTGTGATTAAAGAAAATCCGTCTTTCATCAAATCATAAGTGAACTAATCATTTAGTATATTTTTTGATGATAACCCTTTTAGTCCAATCAAAAACCGTTTAAGATTTTGAATCCTATCCAAACATCCCATGATATTGCTTTGTAATAATTCTCTTGATTGGAGAAGAATTTTTATAACTGAGTTGCAAATGTTGTGGTTTTATTAGGACAAGGGTTTATCAAATATAGTGAAGAACGAGAAATGTCACAAACCAAGGTTTGAGAACAAGAGGATAATTAATTGATTAACAATGTCCTTTATTTACTATTTCCCAACCACTTCCAACAACACAACCTATCTTAACAAAAAAATTTCGGATAATACCTATTTGACTTCTGAATTATTATTTTTTAATATAATATTTTTAAAAAAAATTTAATTAGATATTAAAATTTTATTTTTGTATTTTCTGTTACTGCAACTCTTTAACACCGTTGTACGACAAGTGTTATTAACCCAAAATATTTATAAAAAAAATTTTTAAAAAAGGAGTAAACCGGAGACGAAAGTAGTAGATTGATTTGGACGAGGTTATAATATTGTTTGGTGGCCCAATAAGACTGAAGAATGTCATTAAATGGTTGGCCCTATAAATTGTTTATTGGCACCTGACTATCATTTGGAATCTTGAACTCAGGGCCCAAAAACAATTAAAGCAAAAGGCAAAGTATATTCGGCCGTGGAATTTATTTTAGTTTGTTGAACGTTATCTTAATATTAGTTGGTTCGAGTAGGGACGGTAATCTAATCGTTCTCGATATATTTTGATTTGATCTAATTTTATGAGATCGTTTTTTTTTTTAATTCGAATTTCAGGTTGAATAAGATTATAAAATAATCGAGATTAGATCGAGATTGAGTTTTATATAAATTTAATTTGATATTATATAAAAAATTATTTTTTAATTAATTATTTAATTATTTATATATATATTTATATAATGATATTTTTTAATATTTATATTTAAAAAATAATATTTTATTAATTTCGGGTTAAATCGGGTCAATACGATTTATATAATATCGGGTCAGGATTGGGTATGAAAAAAAAATTTCGAATAAGATAAGGTTCAGGACGAGCAAAATCTACCCCAAACTCGATCCGATGCCAACCTTAAGTTCAAGTGATAAAAAATTTTAATTTTTTTAAATAAAATTTTAATTTTAAGTTTTATGAATGAAAAAATAAGTTTGAAAGAATTTATTTTTTTATAAGATTTAATTCGATTTAATTTTTAATTAATTAAGATTTAAAGTAATTATCGAACACAAAAAAATTTTAGACAAAAAAACTATTAGTTTAATACTATTATTTTTTCGGTTGAAAAAAATATATACTTAAAAGATATAATTAAAAATTTTAAATGTTTGATATAAGTGTGAAATAGTGTTCTGAGTAATTAAAATATTTTTTAAAAAATAAAAATATAAAGACATTAAATTATTTTTTATCTCAAATGTATTCTTTTACTAATAAACATTTTTTGAAGAATTTTTTTTATTTGGATTAAAAAATCAAACTTTTAAATAAAAAAAAAACTAATATTTTTTATTATTTAATATTACGTTTGAGTTACAACTAATATTTGAACGGTTAATAACAATACTAAACGAGGTCCTAATTTAATTGGCCAAAACATTTTAATTTTCTATAACAAAATAAATTAACTTTATTTCGTGCTTTTTTCTCGTCTTATAAGTTAATTTAATAATAAAATTTTAATTTTTAACTGTCTTGATTCTCAATTATAAAAAAAAAATTAATTACATTTGATTATATAAAAATTAACAAAAAAAAAATAAATAAATTACTTTCGATGAAAATGATTGGATTGCCTAACTTTTTCATTAATTGGGTTTATTCAAAAACCAATTTTAACACAATTCACATATCTTTAGAGAAAACTATAAATATTTAGCTTACTGAAAATAATTTTTTTAAAAAATTACTAATAAAATTTAAGTAGAGACAAGATCATGGCATGATATTTGAATTATTTTATATAAAAATAATTATCAATATGGCAAAACCTCATAATTATTGTCCATTTTATCAAAATTATAAAATAATAAAAAATATTATCATGCAATGAAAACAGATCATTAATGATCATTACAATATAATTAATCAATTATAATTTATAATTATACAAAAATCTATTAAAACTTTGTGTAACCTACATTTATAAATAATATATTTATAAATAATTTTTTATTATAATTAAATAATTATATAAAATTATAATTAACAAGTCAAATGAGTAAAAAAACTTATTTAATTAAATTTCAATAATCATTTAAATTTTTATTTTTTTCATTCAATTAAATCTCAAGCACTTATTTTATCGAATAAGTCATTGTTAAAAAAATGATTAATTATTTTTATTTAATTGAAGGTTTAATTGAATGAAAATAAATATTTAAAGGATTAACTTGGAAATAAATAAATTTAAATTTAATTATAATAAAATTTTAAAAATTTTAAATAATTATTAAAATTTTATTTTAGAATCTTTTTAATTATTTTATCTAAAAAAAGGTATAGTCATCAAACATGAAGCACCTGGACCGTATATTTGGAAATAGGCCTCGCAATGTTAATGATTAAGAACCTTAATCCGTTGCCACGTAACCCTCACCCTTCCCCCCTCAAAAAGGCGCCACATTCGCTTCTCTTTTCATTTAAACCCGTGTCTCTCTTCTTATGGGGCCAAAACCCTTCCCGTTTCTCTCTTCGCTTCTTTCCAAGCAAAAACCCTAATACCTTTCTTTTGTTTTTGGTGCTATCGCATTCGTAAAACTTTACAATGCTCCCTCACTCGTACACTGTCGATTCCCTTTCCCAATCCCAAGACCTCGCCTCGGCAATACTCGCCTCCACCACTCCCTCCCAAATATCCGCCATCTGCGCCTATGTGGACTCCTTCCTACACTCGCACACAACTGATCAATCCCGCCATTTCTTCTCGATCACATTCCCAACCCTAATCTGCAAACTCTTCGGCTTCGATGACGCCACGTCACTACCCCCACCTCCATCGCCCCAAAAACCCCAGCATCCCCACTCCAACGGCTGGATCGAACTTGCTTCCCAATCTAACTGCTCGGATTTATCCTCCAAAATCCTATGCCTTCTTTCCCCAAATGGAACTTTAATGAACTCAATCTCATCTGTTGATCGGCATTCCCTCGTCAAATTCGTGTTCCCAGTTGAACGGCTCCCGAAGTGGGTCCGATTCATGCTATCCAACTACAAAGAGTGCCGGGTTTTATCCGATTTGTGCCCTTTGTTTAATGGTAAAGTCCAAGAAGATTCAGTTAAGGGCCCTTTTTGTCAAATTCAATTGAATGTTTTCGAATATTATATGTTTTGGTTCGCTTATTATCCCATTTGTAAAGGAAACAGCGAGAACTTGGACTCGAATTCAGTAAAAAGAAGCAAGAAGTTTAGGTTAGAGAATTGGGCGCACTCAATTCGGGGTTTTCCAGGGTCAAATAAGCGTGAAATGGAGCAAAAATTTGAGGCTAATCTTTATATACTGCTTTTATATGCGTATCTTCGTGCATTTGTGCCTATATTTGATTTGGGTGCTCACCAACCTTATCGTAGTTCAATTTTGAATTACTCTTTGAAGTGTGATGGTTCGGTTATATTTTGTGCTGAGTTTTTGGTCAATGTTTTGGTGCATTATTGGTTGGTTGATAATGATTTTTCACCGTTGCCCGATAATGTATGCAAATCGTTTGGTGTGTCGATTCCGTTTAGGTCAATGTTGGGAGAGACCCCACCGACAAGCGGGTTGGGTGAGGTGGTGAAGTTGTTTGTAAAGTACGTGAATTTGAGCTCGGTCATAAGCATGGATGGGTTTGACAGTATTGATTATGATGAAAGTCCATGCAGGAGGGCTTCTGGTTGTTTTGATAGTGGGAGCTCAAGGGACGCTGTTTCTGTGTCACCTTGTGCATGTTTTGTTGGTTCTTGGAACTTGTGGATACAGAGGCCATTGTATAGGTTTATATTGAGAACATTCTTGTTTTGTCCCATGGGAACATCAATCAAGAATGCATCACTGGTGTTCTCTGTATGGGTTAGTTTTATGGAACCTTGGACAATCAGCTTGGATGATTTTGCAGAGCTTGGTGAGATTATGAATGGATCAAGTAAAGATTTGAGGAAGCAGGAACCACAGTCTCAAGCTTCTGGATATTCCTCATTATGGCAAGGGTATGTTTTGTCTAATTATCTATACTACAGTTCACTGGTTATGCATTTTATTGGATTCGCACACAAGTTCCTTCATACAGATCCAGAAGTAATAATCCAGATGCTATTGAAGGTTTGTTTCTTAACTGTGACTATTTTCACTTTGGTCAAGTGACTTTTCTGTGTGTTTTTCTTGCTGTTGTAAATACTTGTAATCTAATATCAATGATCTATCAAAGAAAAAATCTAAGGTATGGAATCAATGATCTAGCAAAGAAAAAATCTAAGATATGGAATTTCCTTATTTAATAGCCAAAAAATCTGCTTGCAGTCTGATCCTAACAAGTAAAGTCCATGATTAGGATTGTTTTGAGGTTATCTAAAAGACTTAGAATATATATATATATATATATATATATATATTGGTTCTGAGTTTCTGGAAAGGAACATTATAGCCTTTCGTTGTGGGGGAATGCAGGTGTATTGGGGCTCTCTAGTGGCCAACTAAATGTGGGTTGGTGCAGTTTTTCAGTTTTTCGAGAACTGGGCCAGAGATTGTATGAGTGTTTGAAGAAGGGTAATCTGGATGAAGATAAATTTTTTGTGTTGGTCTCATCATGTTTAGAGGAAATTTACAATGTATATAAGATCAATAGATTATAGACAGGGTTATGGTATTTCATGCAGGGTTAGGATATCCGGTTCTTGGCTTATTGTGATTGCATAGATTTTTTTTATCATTTTCAATCATGGTCAAGTATCCTTTTATAGGCTTTCAACACTGCATCTTAAGGTGTAGGTATGAAGAAGTATTGGACTGAAATGAGGAAAGAGTAGTCATGGTGCATTTGGTACCTTTACCTGGATTTTCTTTGATTTTATGGTAGAATATTGTCTTCTATATTCTGTACTTATCTTTTTTTTTTTAAAGATTTTCTTCATTCTATATCTTGTTTTTGCAGGTTATAAGCCTGTTGACATCCTCTAAAGAGCTGATTGACCTGATAAAGAATGTAGACGCTATTTTTCATTCGAAACAAGCTGTTTCAAGCAAATCAACACTCAATAGCTTGTATAGATATGTTCCTTTAATTCGTGAACAGTTGCAGGTAAATTGTGTTCTGAATCTCTCTACTCTCTTGCTTTTGTCTATCAGGGTAAGCAAATAAGGGTTCAAATGTTTTCTGAAGTTGATGAAATAAACTGCTGCTCGGCATTGAACCTAATGTTAAGTAGAAGTTTTTTTTTTTTTTTTTAAATTTCACTTATCGTTTCTCAATAGTTTCTAAGGTGGTTCTTTGGCCACTCTCCAACATTTGATGAGACTGAGCATCTGCATGATTGTTCAACTTTCTCAGCATCACATTTCACTTCATTGATTTCTTTTGTTGGTGACAATAGGACTGGGAGGGTGGCTTACGTGAAAGTGATGCCAATGGATCTTTCTTGCATGACAACTGGAACAAAGATCTGCAACTCTTTAGTGAAGGGGAAGATGGGGGACAACAACTTCTTCAGGTTTTTGTAGTTTTTAGTATTTGTAATTGAAAAGCTTGTGGTTGTGCTTTTTTTAATCTGTCACAGTATTTGTTCTCATTCATTGGCAATGGTTCTGTCTTGCAGTTGTTTATATTGCGTGCAGAAGCTGAGTTGCAAGCAATTTCTGGCTATAATCTCGCACGCGGCCTTCAGTTAATAGATTCATTGAAAGCAAAATTGGGCTGTTTGTTTGGTGGCTCTGCAGTGAAGCCAATTCCTATTTCACCTGAACTGAGACAGCCTCTGCACTTCCGTGATGAAATCTTCAAGCCCAGAAGAGTTGGCAACCTAACATTAGCTAATATCACATACAAGGGTGACTGGATGAAGCGCCCAATCTCCAATGACGAGGTGGCATGGCTTGCAAAGTTACTTATCTGGTTATCTAGTTGGTTGAATGAAAGCCTTGGCTTAAACCGCCCAGAAATTAGTGATGTGGGTTCTAAGTGGTCCTATGTGGATGTCCCGGGTGATGCAGCAAACATTAGGGGAGCTAGAGAGACCATGAAAACTCTGCTTTGCTTAATTGGTTCATGGCTTCTAATGATGGGTACAACAACGACGAGATTAATGAGAAAACGTGGTTTAAGGGTAAATCTTAGGGTGTTGGCTTACAAGAAAGTTGTGATGGTGTTATTCCTATCTGTTGTATTTAGTGTATTGAAGAAAGCTTTTGGATTGTTTCATTGATATGTAAATGAATCGCAAGAATAGGGACAAATGGTACATAAAACCAGAGAAACAAAAAAGCTCATTTTTTCTTTTCCTTTTTCCTCGCAAGGTTGGTTTCCTTGGCCTTGCCTTTTCTTACCATTCATTTATGTTTAGTTTATTTTTCCCACTAAGACAATTGTAATTGAATTTGAGGCTTACAATTGTAAATAATATATTTTTTTTACATCTTACATCTATAGTTATTAAATAAAGTTATCATATATCGTATCTTAACTCAAGAAAATAATAAGGATCACAAAAGATGGAAAAATGAAAAGTGCTACTTGAAAAATAAAAGAATTATTATCTGTCCCATAATTAGAGCTTGATTTTGACTTTCTTAATATTTTTTAAGTTTGATAACGTTTTATACATAAATTATTATTATTTAAATTGTAAAAGAATAATCTTTCAAATTTTTGAATACAATAAGCTTAATAACTAAATATATCATCAACCTTTAATATACAAAATTTCAATCTTTAATTTTTTTATTACATGCAAATAAACTTAATTTTATTTTACTGTAATTATAACCGAAGAGCATGATGTAAGGGAAAAAAAGGGCCGACGAACGTTAACCTTTTGAGTGTCTCGTGAATTGGGCAACTGCCTGCTATAGGAGATTGGTTGGTCAAAATTCTGTTGTTGGTCGCACTTGGAGGCCGACATAACAGTAGATCTCTATTTTACAAGGGAAGAACACTAATCCCGAGTTCCCAACGACCTGGTTTTTGCTATGGTGTTGGTCCACTTGGTGCCTGTCATTTTCACGCATCAGTCACTGCATTAATTTTATCAACATGTGAGCAGGAATCTGAAAGCCATGATCAGCTGAGCAAGTGAAAGTGAATTTGTATAAATATTAGAATCCAACTTATTTTATTATTATTATTCTTCTCATTCAATTCAAGGGCATGAATCAGGAAAAAATAGCAGAGCATTTTCAATAAATAGAGAGGGTTGGCACTGCCCATGGTAACATAAAGTCTAAATAGAACTGGTAGTTGAGGGCTTGTGTCTTTGGCTTTCTCAGGAAGGGTAGATGGATGGACTCAATATACTGACAATTCAAATTTAATCCTATATTTTATAATACTCTTGACCCCTCCTTGTTGAGCAATCACCATTACTCCCTAGCTTTTTCTCTGTCTGTCTCTTCTCACTGTGGCAAATGGCTCCCAAGAAGGATGGAGTGAGTAAAAGGGTTATGAACAAAGGTGCATGGACAGCTGAGGAAGATACAAAATTGGCTGAATATATTGAGATTCATGGTGCAAAGAGATGGAAAACAATCGCAATTAAATCAGGTTAATTGTGTTCTCTATTCTACATAGCTCTCTTAAGCTTGTAGTTTCTTTTAACACAAAGAGAAGCTACAATTTTCATTTTCTTCCATTTTTTGGAGCATTGGAATTGACCGGTTGCACTGCTTCCTTGTATAGGTTTGAATCGCTGCGGCAAAAGTTGTAGATTGAGATGGTTGAACTACTTGAGACCTAACATCAAGAGAGGCAACATATCAAGTGAAGAAGAAGACTTAATTCTTAGGCTTCACAAACTGCTCGGGAACAGGTTTCTATCATATATTACTAGTCTTTTCCTTTATTTTTTTTAGTGATAGAAGGGAATGCTGAGCATTGATGCAACGCATTTAAATGTTGGTACAGATGGTCTTTGATTGCTGGAAGACTTCCAGGGCGAACAGACAATGAAATCAAGAACTACTGGAATTCACATTTGAGCAAGAAAATAAACCAGAAGGAACGAAAAACAGAACAAACTGTGCCCCAGAAGACTTGGGAAACAGTCCAGATAGAAGAAGAGGTAGCCAGAGGAAGTGATGACAACTTTGAACTTAGCTTTGATGAAAACGAGTTCTTTGACTTTTCAACTCAAGGTTGCTTTGGGTTGGAATGGGTGAATAAATTTCTTCAACTTGATGATCATGACGATCCATAGCAATTATTTAAGTTTGTAATAAGCCTGTTTCCTCTGACAAATAAATAAAGAGATGTTTGAATCAAAATTGCTCTAATTTGCTGCATATTCTTGGCTGTAGCCAAATGTTTGTCGGATGCGTTGCTCGGTAACATTCATGGGTTGCCAGCAGAAATTTGAGGCCAAGGTTCCGATGGGTCAACGTCAAAGTTATCCAAAAAACGAATAGTCGAGGTCAGTTAGCGTTAGATACTTAGATTCTATTCACTGTGTACGAAATCCAGTTTCCTATTTGACAGCCAACAGCTCAAGGCTGTTGATCTCATTTCCATATGGTCGGCCGACACTCTCTAATTATGTGAAAATGCAGTATATTCAAAGAAGATTTTGGATTAGATTTGATATCGGATTATAGCAATTGTTTTCTTTGACTTAAGTTGATTTCGAAAAATTTTAGTTTATTAATCATTTTTGTTAGTATGTGATGTAAAATATTGTTTTTAATTTTTAATTTAATTTTTAATATTTTTAACCTAATAAAAATTAAAAGATAAAATAAAATTCTTAAAAGTTAAGACTTGAGTTACCATCTCTCTATTTTTTTAGAATAATTCTTGTTTTTTATATCTTATTTTTCAGATAAAGGTCCATATCTATTTTAATCTTTAAAAAAAAAAATTTGTGCTCATAATTCTAATCCAAGGTTAATTTTTTTTTATCTTTTTATTTTTTTATATTAAAAAATATTCATTCAAATATTATATAATTAAGTTAAGTGTTTAAAAATATCATAATAAATTAATAAAATTATTTTTATATTTTTAAATTTATTTACTTGATATTTGAAGGTCTTACATATTTATTTTTTATATTATTAATAGTATTATTATATAAAAATTCATATATCTTTATAAATTTATTTATTATAAACTAAAAAATCTTAAATAATATATCAAATCAACTGATATCAATTCCAAAAAAAAATCAAAACGTTATTAAATCTCTTTTCTCACAGTAAGTGCTATGAATATATATATATATATATATATATATATATTGTTCTAGGGGAGAAGAAAAACGAATTGGAAAGGAAACAAAATGCAGTACCTAAAATCAAACAGTTATCTGCCCAAAACCAAAACTTCCCTATTCGGATAAACGATGCTTTTCACTGAAGAACTTTTCCCTCTCGGAATCAAGAGCATGCGAAAGCTTGGTGCCAAGTTGAAATTTTGAACCAAAAAAAATGGTGAAGTTCATGTGTTGGGAAATTGGAAGCATTTATAACTATGAAAACCTATAATATGATGAACACCGAATCTGTTACATTAATGAAAAGAATGATAAAGATGCATGGATTTAGAAGAGTATGGCAACAAGTTGAATGCATTAAGCAAATACTTGGAATTGATGGGCATTATCTATTAGAAAGCAAATTGTAATCATTTGAAGACAGTACGCATTCATAATTCGGTTCAAGTCAACGAAGCAAGATCAGGGTGAAACATAGAGTGAAAAACAGAAGTTGCAGACTGTTTCAACCAATCTTCCGAGCCCGACAGTATGATTCGAGAACAGAAATGTCTTGCTCCAAAGTACTCAAACAATGTACATGTTTAACTTGTGCGCCATAACTTCACAGGTCTCCCTGGTACTTGTTCCGAATGAGTGCAAGGGGTTGCCTTCAGGATAAAGAAAAATATCCATGGTCTTATCATTGAAATTGAATGTTACCGAAAATAGTGATATGATATCCATGTTTTGCTAGCTATTTGCTTTGGAATCGCTGCTTATCATTGATACAGGGGGTCTTGTTATGGTGTTTGATGGCTAAATACAGAAGAAAACATTGAATACAAGCAGGACTTGTTTCTAATCGATGTTTGGGGGGAGAGGAAAGGTTTGAATGGAGGGAAATAGCGAGGGCGACGGTAACGATCATGCTAGTGTGAAATGACATGAATAATTTTATATATTTTAAATTTTTTAATATAAATTTTATTATATTTTAATTAAAGTTTTTATTAATTCAATTAATTTGAATTTTCAATCAAAATAATTAAAAATCAAAACATTTTTAAATAATTTTTTAAAATCAATTTAATTTCATAATTAATTGATTAATTAAATTAAATTAATTCGATCAATTAATTTATTTAAAACCAAATTATTAACAATTTTTCTTAAAAAATCGTAATTCGTAATCTTTTATCTTTATTTTATTCATTAGTCGGGGACATCGAAACGACGTCGCCACCTCTGTGATAAAATTGACTGACCATTCTCGAACACGTCGAGACTTGCAATTCAACCAATAACACAACGCCATGTCACCGCTAGCTCCACGCCTCGAAAATTTAAATGACTAAAAAGCCGCCGAGTAACATCTCGATCTCGCCAAATCACCCGAAGACAAAAAAGAGATTGTCAAGGTTAATTCCGTAATTTAAATCTCCACCTATTTAATCTCAGACCGCCCACCACGATAAGAACAAAAGAAAAGCAAACAATTTTCAACAATCTGTTTAATCTTTTTAGTTATTTTAATTTTCCCCTTATGAATGAGTGATTAAAGCGTAGAACTCTGATTACAACGTTGAAATCGAAGGATTTAATTTCAAATTCGAGATCTCTCCATGGCCGCCCCTTTTTTTTCTACACCTTTTCAACCTTACGTTTATCAGGTAACTTCTTTTTTTTTCGAAGCTTTTTTCACTCTTTCACTGATTTTCTGTTGTTTCATGAGAAAATTGAGGTAAAATTGGAAGGAAATTGAACCTTTTTTGCTGGCGATTGGCGTGAAATTTTAATTGATTTTAGTCTTTACTTTGGCATTTGATCTGTTACAATACGAATTGTAATTGGGATTTTCTTATAGAGTTGACTTTGACTCAATTTCTCTTGAAATCGATTTGTTTATAATCAATTTGTATTGTATAGTCTTGAGACTGCGGTGATCAAACTGTTAGAGTAGCTAGTGTAAGTGCCGAATTCAGGAAACAGCAAATATTTTGTCAGCTTTTACAATGGAAATTAGTTGAAATTAGAATGTTAATCTTGTGTAGTATAAATGTCTCAGAATGTGTGTATATATCTTCATAATAATCTCTTGTTGCTATAAAATCGTGTAGAGTCAGCAAGATGCCCTGATCCCATTTCAAATATTGGGTGGTGAGGCTCAAATAGTTCAGGTACTTCCAAGCTTTTATCAAGATTTTTTCTTTGAATTTACACCTATGATACCATGCTTATGATTGTGAAACCTTTTCTTTTTTAATCTTGGTATTTATTCTTTCGTTTACCAGATAATGCTGAAGCCTCAAGAAAAGGTTATCGCAAAACCTGGTAGGTTGATTTGCTCTCTGTAATATTCCTTGGTTGGGTTAATGCTACTATTATTTTATGTTTTGTCAGAATTAGGGACTTGATGCTTCCATGATGTAGGCCTTCATTGTAGTTTTAGTGTTTTGGTGATTATGCAGTTATATCTCATGGTAAAAATATGAATGGAAATGAGGCTTTCTAGATGCTATGATATGTAGATTGTTAGTTGCTTGAAGTTGAGCCCTGTATTCTAAAATTTGAAATGCTACAGTTTTCTATTGCCAAGAATATATTGTGGTACAAATAGTGGCGAGAAGTGTCTAAAGTTCAATAAAATGGAGAAGCTACTTTACTTATCCCTATCCTGTTGTTGTTTCTTATCATTGCGATTATTAAACTTCTATGAATTAGATCCTCTGCTGAAGGAGAACTGCTTAATCAATAAGATGATTGGCTCGCTGCATTCTGTTAGTTATGGTTTTTATCTTGTAGACTTCTATTCATGCAAAATTGATATGAAATGTAACAAATGTAGGCTCTATGTGCTTCATGTCTGGGTCCATTGAAATGGAAAACACTTATGTCCCTGAAAACGAGGTAGGCATGTGGCAGTGGCTTTTTGGCAAGAATGTAACTAGTATTGCTCTTCGCAATCCTGGTCCAAATGATGGATTTGTTGGAGTTGCTGCACCTTCTCTTGCAAGGATTCTTCCGGTTGGTGTTTCCAACTTACCAAACATCAATAAATTGATTTATTTATAGTGTATGTCAAGTTTGGGTACTTCATGATCCCTGAATTTTTATTTTGTTATGACTAAACATGAGTTTCATCTTGTTCCTGGTTCATGTTTATTTTGACAGATTGATTTAGCAATGTTTGGTGGAGAGCTTTTATGTCAGGTAGCTGACTTGTTCATTGGCCATTCTCCTTTTCTTTCCCTTAACCATTAGTTACCATTCTTTGTACTGCTCATTTGAAGTCGAGAATTCTGATAACTGCATGGAAATTCATTTTTGCTGTAGAATTAACTTGTTTTTCATTCCATTTGCCGGAATCTTTATGTCATCTCGTAAACTTGTTTGTAGCCAGATGCATTTCTTTGCTCCATCAATGATGTGAAGGTCAATAATACAGTTGATCAGCGGCCACGGAATGCCGTAACTGGTGTAGAGGTGACATAATAATAACTTAATTTTTCTCATTTGTCCTTCTTCTCTTAGATTCATACTCAATTTGCATTCAAAGATCTTTTTCTGATACATATTTCTGTTTCTTTGGTTTATTTCTCCATGTTCTTTAAGCTGTTTTATCTGTGTATGTGATATACATGGTGCTGGCATAACAGGGATTTCTGAGGCAGAAGTTATCTGGTCAGGGGCTTGCATTTATTATTGCTGGTGGATCTGGTATCTTTTGTCTTATACATCCTTTAATCTTTTGTTACAGTTACTTGGATTTAAGGGATACCACCAAATTTTTTAGAACTTTTTTCTTGCCTTTTGGTTTCATGATATGTCTCAAGCTGAGTACCATGCTATACTTAGTTATTCTATGTAAACCCAAATGCTTGTTTTTAGAGGTCATATAAGAGCATGTTTTATGATCTTTTTGTTCTCTCCTTCGCTCCCAGGAAAATTAAAACAAGAAAAACTCTTTCCTTATTGCTCAACCAATCATTGGTAACATGTTCCATATTCCATTTGCTGGCTACAGAAAAATGTTATTGATTTCCCTAGGTAAACTGATCATTGGAATTCTGTGGGTTTCTTTCTTTTGCTAGTTGTGCAGAAAAATCTCGAGGTGGGTGAGGTATTGGCGGTTGATATGTCATGTATTGTGGCCCTTACTGCTTCCATCGATGTCCAAATCAAATATAATGGTCCAATGAGACGAGCGGTCTTTGGGGTAAGTTGCTTTCAGTTAGATTTTTGTACTCTCTTGATGTAATGGTGGTTGAGCGGTATGTTAAGATTAAAATTTGGGGCTTGTTTAAGATGCCTCATGTGAAACTCTATTATGAGCACACTGAGTAGCACTTGGTTGATTATCCTACTTCTATCATCTCATCTACATTGCTTCTTAGACTTAATTTGATGCTGATGACTGCCTTATTGCTTACATATGGCCTAGTAATTTTTTAGGTTCTTGGTTGTGAAATTGCAGGGTGACAATTTGGTGACAGCTGTTCTAACGGGACCCGGTATTGTATTCATCCAGAGTTTGCCATTTCATCGATTTTCACAGCGAATCGCTAGGTAATATCTGGCTGCAGCATGAATTCCACAAAACACTTTCTGAATCTTGTTTCACTTTCCACTGTCATCTATTATCCATTTCCTCCAGTACAAAGGTTTAAACAAAATGAATGGATTCTGGCTTGCAGGGCAGTTACATCTCCAAACATGAGGGAAAATCCAAAGTTTTTCGTTCAGATAGCCATATTCTTTTTTCTAGCATATGTGGTGATTGTATCTTCATTAATATTGACCGATGTCTGAAAATGCCTTTCCATCTTTAACTTCTATTTAACCAATGTACGATTCTTTTTTTTCCTTTTCTTAAACCTAGTTTAAGTAGGTCAAAGTGTTTGCGTACTATTGTTTTTTTCTGAAACTTAAACATTAAGTTCTTCAAAGAAAAGAAATTTTGGGTATCTAAAAATTCTTTTGTTTTGATTGGGAATGCTCGATGCTGGGAATTCTGGGTACCGTCAATTTGTTCAAGGGTAATGGTGTAGTACGTATCAATCCCTGCATTAAAAAAAAAATGAAAAACTAACCATTAATTTTACAAATTGATATTTTAATTATAGAAAGTTCTATCACAATCGTCCTTTTTTCATTAGTTGAGTGATTTATAAATAATATACGGATTAAAGTCATATTTGTAGTTTATTATAAGCAATGTTGAATTTCGTCATTGTCGTTAGTTCCCATAAATTTTGTTGATTTTTTAAATGTAAAATAACTAAATTAATTGGAGTTTGTCATTTATTAATAGAGTAAAATTCTTTTGAAAATATTTTATCATTTACATTAACAGAATATATTGTGAAATACTTTAATTTTGTTATCGTAGATAACAAATCAATGAAATTAAAAATATAATCATAAAATTCAATAAAATTAAAATAAAATCTCACTTTAATTTTTAAGAATATTAAAACAAGTAATCAAATTATTTAATTTTAATGGTTATTGAAATTGTTTATCCAATTAACACCAATCGTTGCTTCATAGATTAATACTGATGAAAGACTTTTATGATTCGATCATGTTATTGCTTTTTTTTTCTTGGTAATCTACGTGGAAAATTATATTAGACCAGAACCTGGACCGCACGTGCGGGACATATGGCGGTGCCCGTGCAACGAACTGGTACTATAGATAGCAAAACAGAATTCGGGTAACAAACTGGTTTTTTAGAGCCTCTTCCTAAATTCCCACCGCTCTGTCTTTTCGAAACCTCTCCAAACCCTAACCCTACGGATTCACGATGATCGCTAATCCTTTAAGTCTCTCCAATTTTTGATCGAGGTTCTCCCAAATTTTAATATTCTTTTTTCGATTTCTTCATATCAGAATCTCAACCTTCGAAGTTGCCGAGTTTTTCTTTAAAGATCGATCATTGGTTGGATTGCTTCCTGAAGATTTATTTTTGGTTCGAGTTTTAGAAGACCTGGATCGGCGGAGAATTGATTAATTCGGAGCGAAATTTTTAATCGAAGAGTTCGCTTGAATTTGATGATCTTTGACCAAGGGGCTTTTTCATAATTCCTTGTGATTTGCCCTAATATATTCCGAAACATCTGGTTTCGCTGATAAATTTGAAAATATCTTTGATTCCTTGAATACATCTGGAGAAACTCTCAAAATTAATTTCCTGAAGAGAGAGCTTCGGATTTTGCATCGGAGAAGAATCGCGAGTTTGGTTCGGTTTCTCTTAGAATAAGAAAAAAAAATTGTACTGCTTATATTTGGTTTCTTTTTTAGTGAATATCTGGCCTATTTTTTTGGACGGCCAATAAATAAGTTCATTACAGTATTTTTTTTTTTTTTTTGTGTTCATTATTATTATTATTATTATTAAGTGGAAAAGAAAGGAAAAAAATGGCTGTTTATTACAAGTTTAAGAGTGCAAGAGATTTTGATTCAATTTCCATGGATGGTCCGTTTATAAGCGTTGGTACTTTGAAAGAAAAAATATTTGAATCAAAGCACTTGGGCAGGGGTACGGACTTCGACCTCATTGTTACTAATGCCCAAACTAATGAAGGTTGGTCTTTGCTCTTTGTTTGGTAGATATGTAATATGTTAATTAAATGCTAAGTGGCTTAACTAAGTTTATGGGAGCAGATGTTGCGTTTAGTAATGTTTTTAACTACTTAATATTCATGGGTTTTAAGCTTTCTAATTTGGTTGTTATATATCCTTCCACTGGGTTTTTGAGACAATGGTTCCCTCAGTAGAGTCTTATATGAGTGTAGCTTCTCTCGTATAGGTGGTTCTAAACTTGACTAGCTTTCTGTACTTTTGAGTGTGTAGAGGTGGGTTTCTACGTTTAAAAAGTCGGGTAGTTAAATGTTTACTTGGATACTTAGATGCTAACCAAGTTGACAGAAAAATCTGTTTGTTTCAGGGAGGTGATTCTAATTTTTAATTAAATATAGCATAAAAATGTCAGTTAGGAGTATGGCCTAATCTAACTTTTTGTTGGAATTCTCATTGACCTCTGTATTCGTCCACTTCGTTTCTTGACTGGAAGTAAAGTTCGTAATTTAGTGATTGTTTGTCGTTCATGGATTAGTCTCTTTGTAGTGTTTTATAGACTTACTCTCCCTTTTCAATTTCAGAATATCTTGATGAAGCAATGTTAATCCCAAAAAATACTTCTGTATTAATTTGCCGGGTTCCTGGAAGGCCTCGCATTCCCATTGTTGCTGCTCAAGAGTATTATCTCAATCCTTTATATACCTAACCGCTCAAATATTTTAATTTTAGTGAACTTGTTAAAAAAAGAAGTATGAAGGGTTCGGTTAACTGCATGAACTTTATCAGTTCTGGCTTGTATGGCCTGCTATTGTGAGACGAATTTTGATAATAGTTTTGAGTTTGGCCTTTGTTATGCATCACAGGCCTAAGGTGGAAAATCAGACTGAAAATGCACAACCAGAAAAGACTGATTTCCTGGATGCTGATTCATCTGTCCCAAGATATGTAAGCTTTGTTCCTGACATATTTTCCTTGATTAAAATTGGCTTCTCTTCATGCTACTAGTGTCCACTGTTGTGCATTTGAGGAATGTTGTATCTATCGGTAAAGAGAAACAATAGAAACATAATATTAAGCGTGATTTTATACTTGTAGCCTGAAGATTCCGAATGGGATGAATTTGGGAATGATTTATATTCAATCCCTGAAACACTGCCACTGCATTCAAGCAATCCACTTCCTGATGCTCCCCCTACTAACAAAGCTGACGAGGACACCAAGATTAAGGCTTTAATTGATACTCCTGCCTTGGACTGGCAGCGGTGAGATGACTGCTATTTTCTTTTCTTTTTTGTTATATTGATGCAATTTTCATTCTTAATGATTTTAGTTATTTTGGATTCACAGCCAAGGTGCGGATGGTTTTGGACCTGGTAGAGGCTTTGGAAGGGGTATGGGTGGAAGGATGGGAGGGCGTGGTTTTGGTGATTCTCTTATGCCCTTTTTGTTTTTATTGCGTTGTTTATCATTGTTTAAATCTCTAGATCATTGAAGTTTGGTCTTTTTCTGCTGCCTAGTATTGCAGTATAAATGTGCCTCTTTGCGTTTTCATTTGATGGTAGTGGTGTAATTTCTTAGTGTTTATGTATGTGTGCATGTGAGTGGTCTATGCTCTTGTAAATTTATTGACGTTTGAACTGTCACTTCTTTGTTGCTTTAACATGTAATGATTTTTTTTTTTTTGTGTAAACGTGTGTGCTTTAAAGAATGATGGCCATTTATTCTCATTTTAGATCAGTGGGATTTGAAATTTTGTGGGACATTTCATTCCTTTAATTGTACTCCAGAAATTGTATATGGAGCTGAAGTTTATCTTTTTCTCATTGAGGTCGATTAGGATTGGAGCGCAAAACACCTCCTCAGGGTTATGTTTGTCACCGCTGTAAGGTGCCTGGTATGTTGATAAAACTTTCTTCATTTCCTAGAGATATACTTTTTAGCAAACTTGTGCTTATTATGGAATTTGTCATGTAGGGCATTTTATTCAGCATTGCCCCACAAACGGCGATCCAAACTATGATATTAAAAGGGTGAAGCCTCCAACTGGCATTCCAAAGTCGATGCTAATGACTACTCCAGATGGCTCTTATGCATTGCCAAGTGGAGCAGTTGCAGTTCTGAAGCCCAATGAGTAACTGTTTTGTCTTATAAGTTTGGTTTTGTCTATGCTTGTGGGGAATTAGTTGTTATGCTTGAAAATTGAAATTTTTGTTTCCAACAGGGCTGCTTTTGAGAAAGAAATTGAGGGCTTACCTTCCACTCGTTCTGTTGGTGACCTTCCACCTGAACTCCATTGCCCATTGTGCAAGGAAGTGATGAAAGATGCTGTTCTAACTAGCAAATGTTGTTTTAAGAGTTTTTGTGATAAATGTGAGTTTTATAGCTACTTATTCCATGCATCTTCTGGTTCTTTTTCCCTTCTGATGATTTTGTTTATGCATGTTGAAGCTCACTTTAACAAAATGTAACTCAGGTATAAGGGACCACATTATCTCAAACTCAATGTGCATATGTGGAGCGACAAACATACTCGCCGATGATCTTCTGCCAAATAAGACCCTAAGAGATACAATTAATCGTATTTTGGAGTCTGGTAACAGCAGTGTTGACAATGCTGGAAGCACTTTTCAAGTTCAAGGTTCATCAACCATTGACATAATGATATAAATTTTTCAATGATGTCTATGATGTAAGAATCATTATTTGTTTGTCATGTCTTTCAAATTTAGATATGGAATCTGCTCGATGTCCACAGCCAAAAATTCCATCTCCTACTACATCTTCTGCATCTAAGGGAGAGCAGAAGCCAGTATCTGCTAAGGAAGAAAGTCCTGATGTGAAGGATAAAGCTAATGAAGTGAAGGTAGCTATTCCCCCACGACAAGTCTTGGAGAAAGTCAAGATTGCTAAACCAGTTGATGCATGTGCGGCTACATTGGAGTCAATGAGTGTGAAAGAAACCGCATCACAAGGGAGTGCCCCACTTGCAGAGGAACAAGTGCAACAGAAGGTGGCTTCTGGAGAGGCAGGTAATGATTATTTGTTTCTTAATTTATTGTTTATGTTGGTTTGGTAGGGTTGAAAGACAACCTTTAAGAATATTGGTACCGATCTCCTCTCAAAAGTGGTAACATTTAAGGTTCAAACCTGGGTGGAAAATGCTTGGGGTGGGGCTATCTTGTTCCATGTCAGCCTCAGTACCATTCCTGTTCTTGGAAGATTGTGCCGAGGAGATATTTCCTGTGTTCTTTTTGAAAGTAATAATATGGTGTGTCTATTAAGAACATAAATTCTTCAGGCAGTAAACTTTTATGTCATCTTCTTTCCTGTTTCATCTTGAACTCTTGAGTTGGATGGATGTTAGTATTCTTTCTTTAGTGGAAATCAGGAAAAAAAATGGATTGAGGGTTTATTTTGATGCTTTACTTCTACAGGAAAGAAAAAGAAAAAGACGGTTCGTTTGCCAGCAAATGGTAGGTCTACAGTCCTGTTTTCGTATTTGGCGCTGGTGCAAACTACATGTGAGTTTCATAAAATCATTAGGAATGCTTAACCTGAATCATATTCTTTTTGCCTTCTAGACTTGCAGTGGAAAACCCCTCAGGATCTTCCAGCTGACAACTATATGATGTCTATGGGTCCCTTGGCCTGTAATCCTTACTGGACTGGTATGCAGCCTGGGATGGATGGGTTTTTGGGACCTTATGCTAGTGTGATGCCCTATGTAGGGGGCTATGGACTAGGTCCATTGGATATGCCATTTGGAGGTGTCATGCCTCTAGATCCTTTCGGTGCTCAAGGTTACATGTTTCCTCCTGTCCCACCTCAGAGGTATGTGTAACATTTCTTAAATAGCTTATGCTATGTTATAACAGTGGCATTTCTGTTGCTTGAGTGTTTGCATGGCATTTTTGTCTTATTTGAAAGTATTATTGGGTTCAATATCAATGAGCTTATGACTTCATATGCAAGTTGATGATACCTGGACGTCCATGGTCTCACTAGCTTTGATTGGATTATTGAATTGAATGCTTTGTAGCGATCTTGCTGTTTTTGGAATGGGTATGAATGTTGTCCCACCTACCATGAGCAGAGAGGAATTTGAGGCTCGGCAAGCTGATTTGAGGAGGAAGTGTGAAAATGAGAGACGAGGTGAAAGGTACTGAATTTACTTTCTCATTCTAATCTTAGTAGAAAATAATTATTCAATTGGACTACTTTCCATTGACCTGGGAAGCATTTCTAGTCATTTGGCTATTCCCTGGGTCATAGTGCATGAAAGTCCTGAGGTCCCTGAAAAAGGCTTTCTATGGGATTAAGATAATATGTTTCTATTATTTATGTATATGGACTTCACATGATTAAATGGTTCATTTACTATTTCTAAAATTGTTGCAGGGAGTTCTCTAGAAATTGGGAATTTGGTAGAGAAGTGGGCAGCAGTGGTAATGTTTCATCACTGAAGTCAAAATCTGTATGTATCTTTATTTTCCTAGTTTTCTTTTGTTCTTTTGGTTTATGATGGCAGGTCTACAACATGATATCTGGCAACCATTTGGCTAGGGCATAGTGATTTGTAGATTACAACATTTTCTGGTAGGGTAAAGATTTTATTTTGTCAGTGTCAATAGGTTCAAAAAATTGGGATTCATTGATTTTCAGTGAATGTTCTTAAGTCTTACATTTTTATTTTTATTAAGGCACATAAATGATTCCACTTATTGACATAAGTCAAAAGAAGAGTATAAACGTGAAATTTTCTGACAGCCTTTTTTACTCCCTACCTGTTGTAAGGTTCTGAAATTTCTACCTTTTTTATTTTTTTGCAAAATTTTATGGTGGTTTACATTGAAAAAGGATAAACGATTAGTGTTGGTCAGAGTTGCACCAGTTTAAGCATTGTATTTGTGGCATTTTGCAGCCTTGTGATACCATGTTACGTGTACCATCTTTTTTTCTTCAAGACCGTTTCTGCCATTTGTTTTGATTGAGTTTGTAATGAAGTGATATACTTGAAACTTTGAATCCATACTGAGGTCTTTGGTTAATGGTGCCAAATCTTAATTGGGGTTTGAACCGAATCATCTCCACAAAGACAACAAAGGGAAAAAATGAAAATATCCAATTCATTCTCATTCTCATATAGTTAGATGTAAGCTTGGCTTATGAAGATGCTGATTGAAGTTCTCTAGTTCATCCTGTTTGTCTGTGTTTATTCTTTGCTGATTTTCAAGTATTTCTAAAAAATAATTTGGAATCATTCAGTACTTGCTATCTATTATTCCGTCTCCTGCTCCTCTAGTTTCTTCATCTACCAAGTAGCTCTGGCATTTTGCTGTTCCATTTCTATCCTTAAAATCAATGTAAATGTAACAGGGATGTATGTTTATGGTAGCCATTCATTGAACACTACTAGAAGATTCTTGTTTTATTGGAAAGAAAAATAAAGAGTTCTTTTGCTTGTGTCCAATGCCAGTGACATGAGAAGAATAAGACGGTCGTTTTATGATGGGTAGATGGTAGTCAAAAATTGAGAGGAAGAAACTAAATAACGGGAAATATGTTTTTCAAAAAGTAGAGATATACTTTTTAGGACTAGTTTTTTTAGTTACTCATTTGATGTCCAATGCAATGGAATACATTTAACACGTTCATTTCAATTATGTTTGTTGCAGAAGCCTATCCCACAATTCGCTGGTGGTGAGCATCGCCATGAACATCTTCGGCACCGATCAGAGAGGACCTCACCAGGCCGCACCTTATGGGATCATGAAGCACCTCCTTCAAAGAGAAAAGCTGACCAGCATTATGAACGAGATCATGACTATGATGATCGTGACCGTGACCGCCATCATCATCACCATCGATTTGAGTCTTCCAAGCTTGCCTCTGAAACTGTCACCAAGGTTGCTTCACCGACTACTGCAGCGGCAATGGATAAGAAGCAAAAGGCTAGCGTCTTTTCCCGCGTTAGCTTTCCAGAAGAACTCAGCAAGAAACGCAAGCTCTCTTCTGATGCACCTGCATCTTCTGGACATCACAAGCCGTCTACCAATGGATACAATGATGACTACAAGACTACTTCAGCAGCTCGGAAAGCAGTTTCTGCTACTAGTGCGGGTAGTAGGAAGAGAATTAGTAGCAATGCTGTAGATTACGAGTGTAGTGATGATGATAGACATTTCAAAAGGAAGCCCTCAAGGTACGAGTCATCGTCACCATCTCCATCAGCCGAGTGGGCAGAAGAACCGCGGCACTCGAGAAGATCCAGGGAACAAGAGCGTAGCGGCTATATTAAACATAGATAGTGCATAAAAGAGGCTATATCGTTGCTTGCTGCAGCGGCATATCCTCTCGACGAGTTATCGCATACTGTTGCACAATTATGCACAATTGTGCACAATTATACGCCTGATGTGAGTAATTATATGGAGAGAGGATACAAAAATTTTTTTACTTTGTATTTTTAATAATAATTATTTAAAATTATTTTTTTCGAATTCTGTTTTGATTCTTCCCTACGTACCATCAGAAACCTTTCTTTCTCTATTTAACTTTACCAAATCCTTAATCCCAAGAGTAAAATGAAAATGTTAATGAACTTAAAGAGACTTATCAATTACTTAGTTTCATCTTAATATATAATTTCAATTCTTTCAAAAATAATTAGTAGAATAAATTTAATTTATATCTTCTTATAATATCTAGAATATATATCGAGGCACAAATATATGTTAAACTTTTGAAGGGTAAAAGTTTATATTTTTATTAATTTTTATTGATTAATTATAATAATAAATTCTGATTTCATTAAATTATTTTATTAAAAAATAATTTACTTTGTTCGCAATTTTTTATTAAAATATAAAAAGAACATATAATTATGAAACGAAGAACAGAAACTGACTTAGTCCTAATGTATTTTAGTTAAGCACTTGTTTGGGCCAACTGGCTATTCAAAAGCAGCCCATATTTTAAGTAATGGGCCTGGTGATGATTTTGTCTCTCTAAGTCCAAGCATTGCCAAGAAAATGGACCGCCCAGATTTGGAGTGTCCAATCAGGCTCATCCTTTATATAAGGTTATTTTACCCGAAACCTTAGCCTCAGCTCTCTTCTTCTGTAAGTGAAAACCCTAGCCACTCTCCGCGCAGCTAGCTAATGGGTACTTTTTCAAACTCTCTCTCTCTCTTTACCGATTTAAGCTACAGATCGTTTCTTTCTTTTTCTCTCAAGTATTTTCCTTCTGGGTTTCACTTAGTTTTTTCACATTTCTACGGAGGGGCTCTCTTTCTTTTTTCTATGTTTTTGAAATAAGTTGAATCATTTGAGATTTTAATTTTTTTGTTAGTAATTATCTTTGTTTGAACAGAATTTTTTTTGTTTATTTTAGGTTTTTTTTTTCAGATTTTTAAGTTGTAAATTTTTCATATTCTTTGGAACAAAGTATTCAGCTTTTGTTTTTCAAGTGCCAGAAAATTTTTTTTTGTGGGGTGAATTTTGTAGAAAAGATATGGATTTCTATGGCTTAAAAATAGGATCATTGCAGATGAAAAAAGCCCGTCTTGCTGAACTGTTGCTTTCAATTATACTGGGGGTTACCTTTAATGGGATGATTGAATGTAGGGGCTTACAAGTACGTGTCGGAGCTATGGAGGAAGAAGCAGTCGGATGTAATGAGGTTTTTACAGAGGGTGAGGTGCTGGGAATACCGTCAGCACCCATCAATTGTTAGGGTCAACCACCCTACTCGTCCTGACAAGGCACGCCGCTTGGGTTACAAGGCCAAGCAGGTAATGTCCAATTCGGCAGTTTGTGAGAGCTTGTTTTAGTTAGCTGTTCTCTTTCCTTTTCATTCCAAAGAATATAGCAAGAATGTTAGCGTTAACACTTGATTTGCCTTAATCAAGACAATAATCGTTTGCAAGTGCCATTTGTTATTTCTAGGGGTTTTTTTATTCTAAAATAAAATGGTTTCTGCCCATATTTTGCTTTTTATATATGCAAGTATTTTCTTTTCAAATGTTTGTATCTCACAAGTTTGTGCACTCCTTTTCCAGGGTTATGTAGTTTATCGTGTCCGAGTTAGAAGGGGTGGTCGTAAGAGGCCTGTTCCCAAGGGTATTGTCTATGGTAAGCCCACAAACCAGGGTGTCACCCAATTGAAGTTCCAGCGCAGCAAGCGGTCTGTTGCAGAGGAGCGTGCTGGTCGAAAGTTGGGTGGTCTCAGAGTTGTTAACTCATACTGGATCAATGAGGTTTGTAGGACTTGCTGAATGTTCTGGTTTGTCACTTAAATATGTATTGGGTTGTCCTGATTTGGGAATGGCTCACCATTTCTGTGGCATTTGGTCTTGTAGGATTCTACTTACAAGTACTTTGAGGTTATCCTGGTTGATGTTGCACACAATGCTATCCACAATGACCCAAGAATTAACTGGATCTGTAATCCTGTTCACAAGCACAGGGAGCTTCGAGGACTCACATCTGCTGGTAAGAAAAACAGGGGCCTGCATGGAAAGGGTCACTTGCACCACAAGAATCGGCCTTCTCGCAGGGCTACCTGGAAGAGAAACAACACCCTTTCCCTTCGTCGCTACCGCTGATTTTAGTGGGTTTTTTGGACTTACTAATGCTTCGCTTGTGGATTTTGGAATTCATCATCTTGAGTTTGATATTTTGGAGACCGAAATTTTTTCAAGTTTATTTAAGTTTGAAAAATGGAATCTTTTAAGTTTACATCAAATTTATTTTTGTTTGAGACATGAATTTATGAATTTATAACTACGTGCTTATCAACTGCCTAGTTTGGTGGCCATATGTTCTCCTTTCTGATTTCAGATCTGTTTGAGTAATTGGTGATTTTGCTAATCATAGCCTATTAATTCGTTAACTCGGAAAAGCGTAAACTCTGCCTTTGGCATGGGATCTAAGCTCACGTTGAAGGGCATGTCCTGGAAAACAATTTTATTTTCCATTACTGTTTAGGCTATGAGCAATTGAAAAAAAATCACAGCTCTATAGTCTTCCATCAATGTAGCTCTCTTTGAGACTTTGCAAAGCCTGTCGGATAGAGTCCTCGTCTTGGTTGGAGTACTTTAAGCATATTAGTCGTTGAGCAACATGGTATGCCATCTTTATTTGATTATAATGCAGGCAGTTTACTTCCATTCGGTTCACTTCCTGGACATTAGTATTATGAGAATGCCGAATTAGCGCTGTTTGCTATAGAGATCAACAAAACAAAAGCATTGCAATCAATGAAACTTAAATTCTGTCAATAGTTTGGAAGCACTGGCCGACAAAAATACTTGTACAGGCTATCAAAAAGCGCCCTAAAGCTTCACTTGTTACATCATTCAATTGTGTGAAAGAGTGGAAATGAAGTGGGAACTTAAGATCTACTAAATTCTGAATCCTTTTTGTATCTACTTGACCGAAATTACCTTCTCTGTTATCCTTGATGTGATGTTTCTAGCTGTTTCAATCACTGAACTTGGTAATCCCGCCACTTCCGCTAATAGGAGGCCATAGTGTGCTACATGTCTCGGTCCATCTTTGAGTTGAAACTGCGTAAAATCTGAGTTTCAGTCAGGAAAAGCAGCAGCGTTTCTATTAGAGCAAAAGAAAAATGGAAATATCACCTTAAAATCTAGGCGGCTGTTTCTAATATCTACATAGAAGTGAAGGATTTTCACATTTGGATAGATGGTAGCTAGTTCTGACAAGTTTTCCATATGAGTAGCAAATATAGTATACCTATAGAAGATAACGCAAAAAAAGATGTTAATTTGTGCAAGTTAGCATCTTTTGCTACCGTTGCTGGAAGAAAGGAAATAGGAAAAGATGTTAGTTTGTGCAGTTACGCTGTGACTGATAGCAGATGTTCACAGCAGCTCCATGCTATTGCCAATCCATCAGAGGAAGAAGTAGCCCTCCCAAGTTCATCCATAACAATTAGACTCCTATATCAAATGAGTCAAATAATTTTCAATACTGTTCATTTGCCAAGATGTTAAGGACCTCGAACAGATTCTTACCTTTGGGAGACATTCTGCATGATAAAAGCAGTTTCTTTCATCTCTGTCATAAACTATAACATCCAAATAACCAAATGAGAATCATAACATGGTAATTTTCTCCATGGGGTCCATTTCTAGAAAAATATAAATTAGACCATATGATACTCCATCTTATAGCATCTTAATGCATTCTAAAACCATTTTTGTTTGCCTCCACTCTTCATTAGATGTTTCCAACCTTTGCATTGAAATACTATTAACTTTTTAAGCCTGAATGATAGTTTGCATACCTCAAGTCAATTTATAAAAGTATAATTAGGAGAGCCAGAAACACTTTAAGTTCTTGGAAAATCTCAGTCCTGAAATTTATCTATATGCCAGGAAGTTCAATTAAGCAATTTCCAGGATTAAGATAAAATGTGTAGTGTACATGCTATAAGCACTCTTTGACCTTGAACAGAGAAGACAGATGAAAACTATTTTCCACGTGTTTAGATATGACTTGGTAAGGACTAAAATTGAAAATAGTAACAGTTTATCAGTATGTTAAGTGACTTTTAAAGTTAAAACTGAATAAATAGGGAAGTTTCTATTTAACAGTTATAATAAACATATATCTTTGCTTTTCATCAGGAAAGAAACAAGATAGCGACATGAAAAAATGGCTTAAACATTTTTGACAGTGAAGATCAGAAATTGTACCGTACTACAGTTTGATTCAAGATTATCCATTGTGCCCATCCTTGTAAATATACGATCAACTACTCTAATTGTAGCAAAGTGTGCTGGAACATAGCAACCAATCTGAGCAAGAATAACAATGAGACACACTTGTTGAAGATAAGTGCTCTTCCCGCTCCTGCGTGGAGAAAATAGGTCGTTTAAACTCTAAACAAAGGCAGGGTACTATCTAAATCACTATGTTATCCTAACATAATAATCGGAAATTGAAATCGTTATTGATCATATCCAGCTAAAGGCACTCCGGAGAAGAAAAAATAATGACATAATGAGCAAAGACCTGAGGCGGACACTTTAACCTATAGTTAGAGAGAAGTGCAATTAAGACTTACCCTGGACTAGAATCATGAGACTTGGCTTAAAGTCGATGATAAGAAAACAAGTATAAGGAAACTCAAAAAATTCTAGTCTCCAAGGTATCAATTGAAGTTAAAAACATGACTTGGACAAAGTTGTTGTCTAGTACAGGTTTTTTTTTTAAGATTACATTTTCTATATTGCAGATAGGAAGGGTTATATTGAAAACAAATATGGTACATACAACGACTTACAACTATTTGCGAGGAGCAATTTCCATGAAAGAGTTTCTTACATGTTTGGTCCCATTACAATCACCATGTTTGATGCTTCGGAAATAAAGATGCTGTTGGGCTGAAACAACAGTTTAAAATCTTAAAGGGCACCAAAGAAATTTAAGAAGAATCCATGACATAGAAAGTAGGTTATCAATCTATGATAGCAGTGTAATTATTACTATAGAAAGTAAGTTATTAATCTAATATAAGCAGTAAAAGTAATACCTAATTGCGATATAAAACAACATACCACAAAATCACTGTGTATGCTTTCTAGGATGGGGTGTCTTCCAGAATCAATTCCTAGAGGGCCATAATCTGTGAGCAATTAGTCATCATTAAAATTATCCTAATTACACTTGGAAGAATAAAAGAATACATGCTACAAATTGGCAAAGAAATTACCAGTAAATTCTGGCCTAATATATCGGTCAACAGGCTTGGTTGATATTGCATGAGCAAATGAATTAACAATCATATCCAAGAGGCACAGAACTTCAGCAAGAAGTGTGAGCACCGAGATGTCCTCCCTTATGGTATCAACTAGGGCTACAAATCACATAAAGTTACCATAAGTAATGAATGAAACCATTGCAACATTTGAATAACATAAAGAAAAGGCACCATAAATGAAACAAACTTTGAAAAGATAGTATGTATCTCTAGTATTTTGTGTTATCATCATCCAGTAGTTTCAAAAGCTATAGCAATAAAACAATAATGACTACAAGTTAAATGAAATCTATCTAATCAATATAATTAATTCCAATGGCACTTATTTCTGACAAGATTTGCAGTGTCAAATACATTAAATGGCAGATGTTATTGTATCCTTGCTTGAATACAAGAAATATGATGCTAAAATGTGCAAGTTTGTGAAGAAGGCTTGTTAACAGCTTAAGCCTTTTAGCATAGTCTTAGATAGCATAAGAAATAAGAAAAACCCTATTCTGGAAAATGAAAATGCCTTTCAAAGATTTGATTGCATGATCAATCCACACTGTCGACCCTCAGTAACCATTTGGATTGTAAAGCACCTTTCTATGCCACGTAATTTTGATAGTTTTAATTCATTTAAGGTAGACCCATTGAGCAAGTGATTGATAAATTCTTAAAATGTTTTAACTTAAAAGGCTCATGAGATCAATGGTGTCCTGAGAATTCATATGAAAACCCCATTAAGAGACAAATTGACAAGTAAGACTTGTCAGAGATCTTGAAACCAAGCAGTTGATCACAAACCTTCCAAGCAAACTTCTGTTCTAACATAGCATTCTCCAGCTGCAGATTTGTTTCTGACATTCAACTGCAAATTATGCAATTTAAGCATTTTTAAGACCCAGACAGGCTGATAAATGTACAACTATTATAAACAAAGTAGCATGCTGATATCAACAAACAAATATGTATTTGGCTACATAGTATACAAAATCAATCAGTACCCTCGTTCTATTCTGATAATAGACTAATCAATCAACCCATAAAGAAATGTTTGTAATGAATATATCCATACTATACACCACATGCCATGATAAGTTGATAAACATCATATAAGAACAGTTATTCTACAAATTAAAAAAAAAAAAAAAACTTTACAACATGTTGCACTTAGTGGAGTTAATATGTATCGATATCACTTGATTTTGGAGTAATCATATTAAAGAATTGTTTTTATTTTCTTATATTCCTCGCACCTGCATTATTATGCATACTAATGTGACTGCTGTACTCAATTACTATCCTTGGGAAAAAGATAGCAAGTTAGAATTGAAATGCATGTCAAATTCAATGATGTTTACAGCAACCCAATGTATCTCCTCTCTAGTCCCTTGGTAGTTGTGCAACTCTCAAACAACCCCAGGTCAGATTTTGATCTAAGTTTACTCCAGAACAATATCTAGAGAATTATAACTTGAAATTACTCGCATATAGGTAATATTTTAAAGCAGTACCTCCACTACTCATAAAATGAGCAAATTCAATATCAGGTTTTTTTTTTTTGGGGGGGGGGGGGGATAAGTGAGCAGATTCAATATCACAACATGAATCAATATCAAACCACAACTATGCATCATTAAATAATACTTACAGAAGCAAGTTCCAAAGTTGAGCAATGAACATTGTTCCCGTGTTTCACAACCTGATTTTTCCATCACAAGCATACCAAACTCAGAGATGATCCAAGGAAATCATCATATACATCAATACATGAAGTAACAAAGAAAAGTTCTTATGGCAACCTGAATGAACTTGCTGGGAAGCTTTCCCTGAATGTCTTTCTGTGGAATGCTAAAGTAAAAACCTTGTCTATTGTTAAATGGGAGTTTCAGATTTGGCAGCTTGTATTCTTCCCGATAATTGTTTGCAAGGTTATGTATAGCTGTCAAATCAAAATAAAATAGTCTTTGGTGGTAGGCAAAATAACCCATTTTCCAATGACAGAAATAAAGGAGAGCAACAGCATTGGATTTGGAAAAGAGAAGGGGGGGAACCTTCG